ATGAAAATCAATAAAACGTAATAAAACCACATTACAAAGCAAAGGAAAAACCACTTGATCATCTCAATAGATGTGCAGAAAAGAGCCTTTGATAAGATCCAACACCATTTTCATGATAAAAGCTCTAAGAAAACTAGGAATAGAAGGAAAGTACTCAACATATAAAGCTATATATGACAACCTACAGCCAGCATTATACTTAATGGAGAAAAAACTGAAACCATTCCCTCTAAAATCAGGAACCAGACAAGGATGCCCACTATCTCCACTCCTATTCAACATAGTACTGAATTCCTAGCCAGAGCAATTAGGCAAGAAGAAGGAATAAAAGGAATACATAAATAAGAAACTGTAAAATATCCCTATTTGCAGATGACATGATCCTATACCTTAAAGACCCAAAAACTCTACTCAGAAGCTTCTAGCATCATCAATCAAGCTATAGCAGAGGTAGCAGATATAAAATCAACATAGAAAAATCATTAGCATTTCTAATACACTAACACATGAGCAAACTGAAAAAAATGTATGAAAACAATTCCATTTACCAATAGCCTCAAAAAAAAAAATCAAATACCTAGTGTAAACCTAATAAAAGATGTGAAAGACCTCTACAAGGAAAACTATAACTTCTGAAGAAAGAGATTGAGGAAGACTATAGAAAGTGGAGAGATCTCCCATGCTCATGGATTGGTAGAATCAACAACATAGTAAAAATGTCATACTCCCAAAAGTAATCTACATGTTTAATGCAATTCCCATCAAAATTCCAATGACATTCATTAAAGAGATTGAAAAATCTACTGTAAATTTATATGGAAACACAAGAGGCCACGAATAGCCAAGGCAATACTCAGTCAAAAGAACAATGCTGGAGGTATCACAATACCTGACTTCAAACTATATTACAAAGCAATAACAATAAAAACAGCATGGTACTGGCACAAAAACAGACATGAAGACCAGTGGAACAGAATAGAGGACCCAGATATGAAGCCACACAACTATAACCAACTTGTCTTTGACAAAGGAGCTAAAAATATACGATGGAGAAATAGCAGCCTCTTCAACAAAAACTGCTGGGAAAACTGGTTAGCAGTCTGCAAAAAACTGAAACTAGATCCATGTATATCACCCTATACCAAGATTAACTCAAAATGGATCAAGGATCTTAATATCAGACCACAAACTCTAAAGTTGATACAGGAAAGAGTAGGAAATACTCTGGAGTTAGTAGGTATAGGTAAGAACTTTCTCAAGAAACCCCAGCAGCACAGCAACTAAGAGATAGCATAGATAAATGGGACCTCATAAAACTAAAAAGCTTCTGTTCATCAAAAGAAATGGTCTCTAAACTGAAGAGAACACCCACAGAGTGGGAGAAAATATTTGCCAGCTACACATCAGACAAAGGACTGATAACCAGAATATAAGGGAACTTAAAAAACTAAATTCTCCCAAAACTAATGAACCAATAAAGAAATGGGCAAGTGAACTAAACAGAACTTTCTCAAAAGAAGAAATTCAAATGGCCAAAAAACACATGAAAAAATGCTCACCATCTCTAGCAATAAAGGAAATGCAAATTAAAACCACACTAAGATTCCACCTACCCCTGTTAGAATAGCCATCATAGCAACACACACCAACAGGTGTTGGCGAGGATGCGGGGAAAAAGGAACCCTCTTACACTGTTGGTGGGAATGTAAACTAGTACAACCACTCTGGAAAAAAATTTGGAGGCTACTTAAAAAGCTGACATTGATCTACCATTTGATCCAGCAATACCACTCTTGGGGATACCCAAAAGACTGTTACTCCAGAGGCACCTGCACACCCATGTTTATTGGCACTATTCACAATAGCCAAGTTATGGAAACAGCCAAGATGCCCCACACTGACGAATGGATTAAGAAAATGTGGTATCTATACACAATGGAATTTTATGCAGCCATGAAGAAGAAAAATGTTATCATTCGCTGGTAAATGGATAGAATTGGAGAACATCATTCTGAGTGAGGTTAGCCTGGCCCAAAAGACCAAAAATCGTATGTTCTCCCTCATATGTGGACATTAGATCAAGGGCAAACACAACAAGGGGATTGGACTTTGAGCACATGATAAAAGCGAGAGCACACAAGGGAGGGGTGAGGATAGGTAAGACACCTAAAAAATTAGCTAGCATTTGTTGCCCTTAACGCAGAGAAACTAAAGCAGATACCTTAAAAGCAACTAAGGCCAATAGGAAAAGGGGACCAGGAACTAGAGAAAAGGTTAGATCAAAAAGAATTAACCTAGAAGGTAACACCACGCACAGGAAATCAATGTGAGTCAATGCCCTGTATAGCTATCCTTATCTCAACCAGCAAAAACCCTTGTTCCTTCCTATTATTGCTTATACTCTCTTCAACAAAATTAGATAAGGGCAAAATAGTTTCTGCTGGGTATTGAGGGGGTGGGGGAGAGGGAGGGGGGAGTGGGTGGTAAGGGAGGGGTGGGGCAGGGGGGAGAAATGACCCAAGCTTGTATGCACATATGAATAATTAAAAAAAAAAATCATGAGGTTCTTATTCAGAGCAGAAAGCCTCCCAGGAGGTCTGTGTTATGGGCAACCAGAGCACCTTTCCTTAGGTGCTTTGAGCTGTGCTAGACGAGATGAGAGACATGTAGGTTGTGGAAGTGTTACGTGCTGATTCGGGGTCCTTCCTTCACAGCGCCAAGAGAACTGGCTTGTGAGGCAGCTGAATGATGAGCCAAAGCCTGTATATAAAGTAGGATTTATAAGAGAGAAAGGAAAGGCTACAGCTAGGGAACTGCAGCAGAGTCTGGAAGCTGGTGGCTTCCTGCACAGGTAAAGGCTGTGGTTTTTATGGACATTCTAACTCTGGGTTAGGTGGGCTTCTCATTGGCCATGGATTCGCAGGCTTTCTCAGGTGAACTGGTTTGTTGAGCACCTTTCTCGGGGGAAGGGAACAATCTTGAGAGACATTTTGCTCATCAGCCTTGTGGCAGATCTGTATCTCTCCTTTAGGATGCAGGAATGCAGGCCTGCATCTCCTCAGGATGTAGGAATGATATTGCCCTCCATGGGGGATGGGATACTCACTCATCTGCCTTAGGTCTCTAGACCCAACAGAAGGACAGGATTAGTGGAAACATGAGGGTAGGAAAGCGTAAGGGATAACTGAGGGTATAAGAGGCAGTTGAAGCGTAGATTACATGAAAAATAGTACCTGAAAAGCTGGAAAGCTGTTTGGGTCAGAATTGTGGAGAAGGATGGAATGGGGGTAGGGAGAGTTATTAAACCTTGGATGATTTTACTTTGGACTTTAACTTTCCAAAATGTTTACTGAGGTAGACCATTTGAGGTGGAGTGATTCAGAGGGTCTCAGAAGCATAACTAGAAGGAAGAATGAGAAATGAGAGCTTCTGGAAAAAAAAAAAAAAAAAAAAAAAAAGGTAACGGAACCAGGGCTTGATAATCACTGTAGGGAAGAAACTTAGAGCTTCCAGCAGGGTGTGGTGGTGTATCCCTGCAACCCCAGCTACCTGTGAGACTGAGGCAGGACGGTTTCTTAAGGCCAGGAGTATTCTCATCTTGAATAAAAAAAGAAAAAGAGAAAGAAATTCAGAGTTTTCAAAAATTAAGAAGAAAAGGAGAAACCAAGCTTAAACTATATATAGTTGATTAAAATACTATTAGAAGGCCCAACAAATCACTCTCAGTGCTCAAAAAGGACTGAGGGATGAGGGTTAACCGGTTCCTTAGTTACTATACTGGGTTGAATAGCATCTCCCCAACATTTGTGACTACCCAGAACCTGTGCATGTGCCTTATTTGGACAGAGGGCCTTTGTTTGATAATCAGTTAAGATTGGGTCATACAGCAAAGGCTATAAATCCAATGACTGGTGTCTTCATGAGGAGATGGAGATTTGGACATAACACAGACACACACAGGGTGAAGATAGCCATGAGACAGAGGGACAAATTAGAGCAGTGTAACTAACAGTAAGTCAAGGAATGCCAAGGATTGTTGATAATCACCAGAATCTAAGAAGAGTCAAGGAAGGATTCTTCCTATGGTCCTTTAGCGGGAACTTGGTCCTACTGATACCTTGATTGTAGACTTCTAGTCTTCAGAACTGAAAGAATAAATCTCTGTTGTTTTGAGGCACCCAGTTTGTGGTTGTTTATTATAGTAGCCTAGGCAACCAATATCTAATTAAATAATCATTTATTCATTTAATATTTTTTAAATTTAGCATCAATTTGTAATACATCTATTTCTGCTTAAGTAAAGTGGCCTGTTAGAGCTTACAATTAGACTAGTCAATGACTCTTTCCTCCTCTTGAGTCTATAGAATATGAGGGTTCAAATGTGTATATTTACTCCACACTTAGAATGATTGAATCTCCAAAAATAGTTTTCCAGTCTCTGCTTATAATCTCACAGAGTGGGGAACTCACTTCTGCCTAGATAGTCCCCTCTACAGAGTTTTGACTTTTAGAAAGTACTGAAGTAAAATCTGGATCTTAGTAACATTTACCTATTGATTCTGGCTTTCCTGATTGAGGTAACAGAGAGTAAGGCTGGTCTGTCTTTCCAGGAAAGCTTATCACTTACTTGAGAGCAGTGCCCATTGCATATCTTGATGTCCCTTCAGTTCCTGGTAGCCCTCAGCTATGAAAAAGTCCTCTGTGTCCTTAGTAAACATGAAAATAGACATGACTGGTGTTTATAACAGCTTGCTAAGTATTGTGATAAGTGCCTGGCACTCGTTAACTAACTTGATCCTCAGAATAATTCTCAGAGAGCTCATTTCTCGATGAGGACACTGATGGGTACAGAGGGTAGGAATGTATACGAAGTCATGCAAGGATTTTTATCAGCCCAAGACTCCATCTTCTGAACTACTATACTTTCTCCATCATCCAAAAGTGGGATCTTGTATATAAACTACTTCTCTCTGAGCCTGCTCTTTTCTCTCTGGATGCAGGAAGGACCATCAGAGCATGCCACCTGTGCAGTACAGGGCACTGCGGGACTTGCTTGAAGCCATGTTGAACCGGTGTGCACAATTTTCCCAGATCCCACTGAACAGGAGGTCCTTGGTCAGTGCACTATAGCCTGCCCCTGCTCAAATGTGTTTTGGGGAAGATAATTAGCACATTGCCTTACCTTCTTATGCCATTTTATAGGTTTTTTTCCTCATGCACACACACCTACAATGATACTATTTTTTCCCCTAACTTTAGAAGCTTGAGGCTTACAGGTTACTGTCTCTATTTTGATAGATGAAGAATCTGAAGTCATAGAGGTTAAACAGCTTTTTTCTAAGGTCCGAAATTATCAAGGACCTGATCTTGGTTTGTAAATCTTAGGATATTTGTACCCCAACTGATTACAAACCATTTTGTTTCTTTTACGTCATCCAAGCAGATATGGTAAACATGCTCACAACATTAAGACTGATGACTTAGAATCTTGGAAAGAATCTGACTAGTGTACATTGTATTGTAATTGTTGGTTTTTAATTGTCCACAGACTTAAGATATGAAGAAAAATACTGTCAGTCCGAATGCTGATTATGGCCTTCAGGATTAAATTTTTTTTTCCATTTTTTATTAGGATATATTTGTTGTACAGGGGGGATTCATTGTGACAATTCCTGGTAGGCTATATTGCAAAACTAAATTCTTTATACCTGATGTGGTAGAGATTTTCTTTTGTTTTGGAGCAACAGTATTGCTAACATCTTCTAGCCTGTGATAGCTTTCCTCATACAATAGAATTAGAACCAGTCTGTGGTTCTTGGGGACATAGGGTTAATGTTTTCCCAAGAAAAGGCGATACTCTATTAGATTTGTGAAGATATAACCACGATTCCCTGGAAAGTTAGGTGTATGTGAATGGCAGATTGCAATGTAAGTGAAAGAGGCCTGTAGTCATCCAAGCATAGTCTAGGACCGAGAGTGGGCACTTGACTCATAAGTTCCTCTCTCCTTCTTACCTCAGGGTTATGTCTGCAGCAGAAATTCAGAGAAGGCCATTCTTCAAAGGGGAAAGTTCCTCCTGAGCACTCTGGAGGGATTTAGAAATGCTTGCAGGTGAGGGGCCCTCTGGTCTGAGGTAACAGCATGGAATATAAGGATGGGAGGTATTCAGACAAGAGATGAAGTTCTAGAAGCAGCACTTAATTTCCAATGCTTTTCTGTACAGTGAGAGGACTTACTGGGTTTGGGGTACAGGATATGTGGAGTAGGGTTGAGGTCAGGTGGTTGGGGGTAGGATGTTTCTAAAGATTCCCTCCTGATAATTTTGCTATTGTGCCATGAGGTTGAATTACTCACCTTTGTTCCCCCCACCACCACCACAACACCAACCAACTAGCCTAGCACTTTAGCTACTTTCAAAACGTTGTTCACTTAGCAGGAGTTTGTTATATCTGCTGTGTGCCAGGCCTGATGCTAACCAGAGAGGGTAGAAAGATGAGTTAGAATAACTCCTGTCAACAATTTGCTTGTAGTCTCTTGGGGAAGAGAGTTTTCAGTATATGTGTAAAATTCGTTAGGTTGTTAAGGAGCCAGAGGAAGTATTCCAGGTAAAGAACGCAGTATAGAAAAATGCAGCTGGAGGCTGGTGACTTGCGCCTGTAATCCTAGTTCCTCGGGAAGCAAAGATCAGGAGGATCATGGTTCGAAGCCAGCCTGGGCAAATAGTTCCTCAAGACCCTATCTGGAAAAAGCCTTTTACAAAAAAGGGCTGGTGGAGTGGCTCAAGGTGTAGGCCCTGAGTTCAAGCCCCAGTACTGCAAAAAAAGAGAAAGAAAATTTAAAAAATGTGAAATGACAGCATGGGATGTTCAGAGAAGTGTACATAGTGGGGTAGAAGAGTCATGTAAGGTGAGGCTGGAGGGGTATCCAAGGGCCTGGTCCTTTCCTCACTGAGGTCTCTTAAATTTTTCCCAGATATGATATGATATGTTGGAAATACTTTCCCTGGATCCTGAGCGCAGGCATTTGCTTAAAGGGTGCTTATAACCCTTTGGTTGCATGGGTGATAGTGGACATACTCAAACTTTGATTTCTCAGGTTGGCTGTGGAATTCCAGGGTGAGCCTTTGGCCCAGGAGAATCCCTTCACAGCTCCCAGTGCTGAGAAAGAAGATACCTTGGAGGCCTTTTCAGAATTTCTTCTCAATGCCTGTGACTCCCTGTGTATTCCTATGGTGATGGTGGGTTCCTCTGTGCCAGGGGCAGTATGTAACTTGGGAAAGAAGAATATGAGGGCAAGCAAGATAGGCAGAAGGCAGCAACTATACTCAACTGGCCCTTAAGATCTCAGTGATATTATTCTTGAAGCCATCTTTCCTTTGCTTTTAAAAATATAGTATTATAAAACTAATAAATGTCTCTGTAGAAATCAGTAGCAATAAAATAATAAATAGGTAATGTTTATGGGATAAATGTCTTATATTTATTCCTTATGGCCCTGGGAGAGGGGTGCTAGAATTAATTTTCCATAGTGTCTCTCTTTCTTTCTCTCTGTCTCTGTCTGTCTGTGTCTCTCTCATATACACACACGCACACGCACACACACACACACACACACACACACACACACTGAGAATCAACTGCAGGACCTTGCACATGCTAGGCAAGCACTCTACTACTGAACTACAGGCTGAGTCCCTTCCCTAATTTATAGATGAGATCATATTCCTACTGTTAGAAAGCAAGTGTATGATGCTGCTGAGATTGAACCTGTGACTTTGTATTCCCTAGTTTTTCTTGAAGTAATGAGCAGTGATGAATGCCTATAATCCAAGCTTCAATAAGGAACATGTATGTGTGTTCCATAAAATGAGAGATGATCAGTCTGAAGAGAGACCTGGTCCTCCTGAAGAACTTTATTTGGAGCTGACTTGAGATTGAGATGATAGGAAGTGGGTCCTGGAGCTGTTGACTCTCTGAGGTCACTTGGAGTCTTCTCTTGCTTGTGATTTATGCATCCTGTAAGCCTGTGTTGAGTCCCTGTTAATCAGGGAAAGGCATGTCTTAAATACATAGTGGGAATATTAAGAGGCAGCAGGGAGGTACCTACAGCTGTGCAGGTGAGAGATTCTCTAACTTGAAGAAAACATGGATAGGGTGTATGGGTCTCCTGTGGTCCTGACTCTAATAGCAATGTATTAACTGTGAGACATGGACAACCCCTGTAGGTTCCACCTGCTCTGTCTTCCTCCTACATTTGTGAAGTTTTAGAGCTAGACATAGGAGTAGATCATAGAATTATTACATTATTCCTGTTTTCTACTTTCCTATTTAAAAAATAGGAAATCTATTAAAATTTTTAATAGATTTTCTTGAATGAGCATATATTACTTTTATAATAATAATTTTTAAAAACCAAAGGAATGGTGTATACAAGAACAATGTCTCCAAGGTTCCAGTCATTTACACATAGGAAGTGAGACCCAGAGAGGGGAGGAGAAAATTGCCCAAGGGTATATAGGGGAGGCCCTGTATGGAACTTGAACTATGACCCAAGTTTATTTATGATTAATCCAGAGGTACTATATCAGGCTGCTCATGACGGTCCACGGGTTACATGAATAATAAATGTGAAGGCCATTTGAAGTCTATATTTTTATTACTATTCTTACTATATTAATAGAAACATAAGTGTTACTCTATGTTAGGGTTTAGAAAGCACTTTTTTGTGGTACTGGGGATTTTATGAGCCTTGTGCTTACTGGTCAAGCACTATACCACTTGAGCAGTGCCTTATCCTAGAAAGCACTTTTTATATATCAGATTTCATATGTTTCTGGGAGATAGGTATTTTTGTTATCCTCATTTTGCTTTTTTTTTTTTTTTGGGACAGAGGCCCAGGGAGGTAAAGTATCTGATATAATGTCTTAAGTAATGACCTAAGCCTTGGATGTAGGTTTGTGACTTCAGGTTCCCAAACTTTTCTTGTGCCCCTCAAGTGAAAGGCATAAATTAGTCTTGTTGCTGATTCAGTGCCATTTTTTGCAGATGCTTTTTATTTTTCAGAATCTCAGTCCTGGTGGGCTGTGTTCTCCTTTTTGATTATTTCAGAGGCACTCAGAGGAGACCACCCACCCAGCTTTGATGGAAATTTTCCTCTCGATTCTACACAGCCTCTTTGTCATCGTTCCCCACATGAAGGAGAAGTTCTCCAAGAAGCTCGGTAAGTAGCAGGCCAGGGTGAAGGTTGGTAGCAAGGCAGGCCCATAAGCAGCTGCTCAGAGTGCTCAAAGGAAGCATAAGCCACGGAATGGACATCTGCTTGTTCATCAGAATCTACATCCATTCTCTGTCCAGTGTTGAGTGGATGGAAATATCATGCAATAATCAAAAGCCATTAAAGGCAATTTTCCAATTATTGATACTTCTTTGTTCAGAAGTCCAGAATGCTCCAGTTCAGAACCATAGCATACTTCCTTTGCATTCTTTCCAGGTCCCTGAGACTTCACAGGATGTTTATCATCTATGACTGCTGAGCACTCAATGCTGCAGTACCCCAAGTCATTGTGGCAACTGAAAGGGTCTCCATATATTTTCAAGTGTCTTTTAGGGGAGCAGTAGCACTCTAAAAGCTACTGTCAAGCTGTCCACAGATGTTCTTGCCTAAAATTGAGCCCAAGTGGCTTTTGATCAACTTTAACCTTCTCCAGGCCTTCTTGAATCTTTTTCTTACTAGTCATTTTTGCTCTCTCAAATGTAGACGTTCCTTTCCCACTTCTGCAGTTTTCACTCTATAAATACCACATTCTACAGAATTAAGTCCAAGAATCAAAATCAGAATTTTCTTCATCTTCCTTGGAGAGTGGTGGTGATGCTTAGAATGGGAAGGGGAAATAGCCAAACACAGAAGAGAAGAGGGAAGAGAACAGTAATAATTAATAACTAGTTATTAGCAATAATAACTAGTTATTAGCAATAATAACTAGTTATTAGCAACAATAACTAAATTTTCTTTGGACTGTACTGGGGTTTGAACTCAGGGCTTCACATTTGCTATGCAAGGTGTTCTACTGCTTGAGCCACACCTTCAACCCTTTTTTACTTGGGTTATTTTGGAGATAGGGTCTCAATTTCTGCCCAGACAAGCCTGGAATTCAATATATTTCAAGCTTCCTGCTGTGGCTAGGATGATGCATATAGATGGGGTCTCATGAAATTTATTTGACCTGGGCTTTCCTGGAATCACCATCCTCCCAATCTCAGCCTCCCAAGTAGTTAGGAATTCAGGTGTGAGCCACTGTTACCTGGCTCTAATAACTAACATTTAATTTTTTTTTTACTATGTATGAGACTATTTTAAGTGCTTTACATATATATATATATATGTAGGTTCATTTAGTCCACAGAAAAACCCTAGGAATTGTACATTATCCCCATTCTACTAATGAACAACCAGTCTTAGGTTAAGTGAGTAGCCCAAAGTAATACTGTTAAGTAGTATTTTTGGGTTTCAAAACCAGGAAATGTAGCTCTAGAACCTGCTTTCTAAATCTCTGTGCCATACCTGCCTCATTTAATGTCTTTTCTTTTATTCTTGTCACATAACATGCTGTGGAAAGGGTTGTGTGGCAAGTCTTCCGTGGAAAGGTAGCCAGGACTCAGTCATGCAGGGCCTTTTTGCCATGTGAGATATTTGGATTCAATCCTTTGTTGAAACTTTAAGAAGAAGATGGACATGCTTAGATTTCTGCTTTAGAAAGATCCTCTTAGCTGGGTACCAGTTGTTCATGCCTGTAATCCTAGCTACTTGTGAGATTGAGATCAGGAGGATCATGATTCGAAGCCAGCCCAGGCAAATAGTTCACAAGACTGCATCTCCAAAATAACCAGAGCAAAATGGACTGGAGGTGTGGCTCAAGTGGTACAGTGCCTGTTTTGTAAGTGTGAAGCCCTGAGTTCAAACCCTAGCCCCACTAAAAAAAAAAAAAAAAAAAAAACAGAAAGAAAGAAAGAGATTTCTTGAGCAATGTGAACCATGAGTCAGAGGGAGGTAAGCTGGAAGGTAAGTGGCTCAGCTTCCTTGCAATTAACTGAAGTTGGTGATAGGAAATAATGTAGTTTTGAGGAGTAGAACAGTTGGATGTCAGGCACAAGGGAGAGGGAACAGTTCAAGGTAATTCCTTGGCTTCTTTCTGCTATCTGTCTGTCTGTCTATCTATCTATCTATCTATCTATCTGTTTTAATTGAGGTGAGTCACTGGTAGAGGATCTGATTTGGAGAGGCTGTAGAGCATGTGTTTAATGTGTTCAGTTTGGGTCACGGTCAGTATGAGATGATGTCTCTGAGATGTCCCAGTGGAGTTGTTGGTGGGTTATTGAGAGTGTGTTAAAGGCAGGGAAATATATGGTCTTTAGACATGAGATGTTTTCAGCATTCAACCTTTCATTCACTCATCAAATAGTTATTTGGTACCAATTGCATGTAAGACACTGTCTTAGGGCTGAGGATATATCAGTGAATAACATGCCTTCCTGTCCTTATGGGGCTGACTCTGTAATGTGGAGTAGGTGGGGCTCCTCAGGAGTGTGTTATAATGAGATGAATAAAGGGGCCAAGACAAAATCAAGAGCAACATTTAATGATCAGAAGGAGGAGGAGATTCCAGAAGATACTGGTAATAAGCAGTTGGAGAGATAGGAAGGATGCTAGAAGGATATGACATTAAGGAAACCAAGTGAAGGAACTTTTGTGGATTTAGGGAGTAGTCAAATGCATCCTGGAGGTCAAGTAAGATGAAATTTATCTTAACGTAGCTTTACAACAGCCTATGAGGTATAGATATCAAAACAATATCTGAGATGTTCAATAATTCTTTCCAGGTCACCCTACTAGATACTAGAGAATCACATTATGAACCAGGTCTGTGTGGTGCTCTTTGACACCACCCATATCTGTAACAAATTGGTTTAAACTACTCTGATTTCTTCCCACTTCAATTAAGCTGCCTCATCTTTCATACAACTGACCCTGGAGCTGAAGGCCAGGTTCTGCAGTAGCCCAAGGTATGTATGGTCCCAGGCAAAACTGTTAAGGGGCCAGCATCTTTCTTTTTTTGGGAAGGAAGGAGTAGAGGGCAGATGGGATCTTGCTGTGTAATGCAGGCTGGCCTCAAACTTGTGATCCTCTTGCTTCAGCCTCCCAAGTGCTGGGGTTATAGGCATGTACCATTACACCCAGCCAGCATTCTTCTCAACTGTACAAGTGGAAGTTTCTGGCTAGTGTTTTGGTCATGGGACCCAGGTGTGGTTGATACCGTGTTAGCATTGCCTAGCCACTAACATATGTAGGTTGAATTTCATCTGCTCTTAGAAGGCTGGCATCCTAGGTTATATGTAGATGGGTACCTGTCAAGTTGAAACTGGAAGGGCTCTCAGAGATCATTTGCCTAACTTCTCATTTAAATGGGGAAACTGAGGCATTCAGAGGGGAAGGAATGCAATATTCATCAAGTTTCAGTTGCTGCCAGTCCTGTGATTTCGGAGGAGAAACTTTTTTTTTTTTCCTGGTACTGGGGTTTGAACTCAGAGCCTTATCCTTCCTATTCAGGCACCCTACCACTTGAGCCACTTCACCAGGCCCAGAGGAGAAACTCTTGTTCAAAGTAGAGGCCATTGCCTCATGTCTGTCTAGTTAGATTTATAGTGTAGCCTTCTGTACCTTCCCATTCATGATTTGCCACTTGTCTCGGTATTTACTAAGAACATTCATTTGTTACTGTTCATAGCCTACAAGGTAGCTACAGTCATGTGTGACTTTCCTTCCATAGCTCTGAATAGAACACCCAACATTCAAGAGAGAACTTAGGGATCCATGTGATTCAAAGCCAAAATTTTGGAAGTTTATAGTACTTCTTGACTACCCATCTTAGGTTCAACATCTTCCTCTTTTTCTAGCAATCCTCAGCCCTTTTCTGTCCCTGGAACTTTTATTTTATTTTATTTGCAGCACTGGTTTTTTAACTCAGGGACTTGTGCTTGTTAGGCAGGCATTCTACCACTTGATCCATGCCCCTAGCCATAGTGGTAATTTTTGTTTGTATGTTTTGTTCAATTGAAGCTATCATTGATTAATTTTTTCAGTTAGTTTTTAGGGACTATCCACATTGGCTGAGTGCCTAGCTTACTGTACACAGCAAATTCTGTACTTGCTTTTCATAGTTACCTTAGGACCTCCTTTAGCATGATATGTTAGAATTTCACTGGGTTCTAGCACAGTGGTTCCAGGCATATGACAGGGATCATACTGTCTGAACCAGAGTAACAATGATGTCTCTTGTTTTCTCTTCTTCTCCAAGTCACTCAGCCCTAAACCAGGTGTGTTCCAGTTTCCTTTATTACATGTGCCTCAACCTCCTCTCAGCTCCAGAGACAACAGGACCACCTTCCCAAGAAGGTGAGATGCCATGGTTCAACCACTCATGTGGCCATTGACAGACTTTAGAGTCTGGTGCTTTGCTGACTGGATGCATAGTGAGTCAGTACAGTAATAAAATATCATTGCTTGAAGCTGCCTAAAGAAACTGTGTAATCCTGGAAGATAGTATGATAGGCTGATTCCCAAGGAAGTTAAATAATAGAATCAGAAAATGATTCTGGTGCCTTAGTTTGAGAAGGACTCTAAACATCAAGTCCAATACCTCTCTTCCAACCATATCTGCAGCATCACCATACCGGCCCCTTGCTCTCTGCTTGTTCATCTCCAGATCCCAGTATTCACTATATTTTGAACAGACTGTTCCATTTCTTTGTTCATTCATTCATGAAACATTTCTTGAGCATTTTCTGTGTGCTACTCTATTTCAGCTGCTGGTAAGAGGTAGGGAGACCAAGCCCCATCTCATGAAGTGAGAGAAGCAGGTAATACACAAATAGACAGTGCCAGGCTGAATAGGTGCTCTGAAAGAAATAAAAGTAGGCAAAGGGATACAGTGTGATGGAAGGGAGGAGTCACATGTCAGATAGGAGAGGCTTCTGTGAAGAGGTGGCATTGAGCAGGAGTCTGAGTAAAGTAAAGAGAGCAATGCAGATTCCAGGCAGGAGGAGCAGCAGGTGTAGGCCTGAGGGCTGGAGGTTTTTCCTTTTGTCCAGTATTCATTGAGTTGCTGCCACATGTCTTGGATGGTGTTGGTACAGTTGTTGATATAGTGATAAATACAATATTTTCTCTGCCCTGTGGAATTCCTCTATCCTAGACTTCACACTTGATATAATATAAAACAACTCTTAGTAATTATTTTACTTATTCACTCAAATATTATACATTCTTTGTGGGTGCTGGCTGTATTTCCTCTTCTTACATTTATGTAGACTCCCCAAAACTCCTCTCATCTTTATCAGACACTGTGCTGAGAAAGACAGGAGTCCAGGAAAGCATTTCCTGACTTGGCTCCTGGTTCTCTCACTACACGGGCCACACAACTCACTGCGTATTGCCCAGCAGCCTGCCTGTTAGGTGTAGTATGGGTTGCAGAAAGAAGAGAATGGTGACTTGTCCAGTAGCCTAAGACTTGGTAACCACATCACAGTGACCTCATGATCTCGCCAAGAGAAACAGCAGACCTAACTTCCATGTAGACTGCTTCTTTCTTATATGTATCAAGGGAAAAGGAAGGTGGATATATAAGGCTTCATCATGGTGTGGAAAAAGCATTGACTTTTTTTTGGTACTCTGGAGTTTGAATTCAGAGAGCAAGCTCTCTACCACAGTTGCTTCATGCCTCCAGTCCCAAAGTACTGGACTTGGAATTAGGAGATCTGATCTGGCTCTGCCACCTAATTGCTATGAGATACTCCCTTTCCTTACCCTCCACTTATCCAGGACTTAGCCTTGGGTCTGCTGCCTTGGCAGAATGGGGACCTTTTCATTTGACCTCCAACTTGGTTGCTGCTTCTAGTCTCTCCTTCTCCAGTCTATCTGAAAACCAAGTTTTAGTATCTTAACTCTCCTGGTCTTCAACTGTGGCCCCCACATATCACTATGTAGAACAGTGTCAGACAGTGAGGGAGTTTTCTCCAGTCTGTGATGAAATGAGGAAGATAAGAGTAATATGGTTGAGAAAAATGGCAGAAGATTTAAGGAACTTTCATGTACTTAAAGCTCATTAAAAAATAATGGATTCCATACTACCAAGAGCATATCAACACATTTATTTTCAATTAACAAATGCTGCTTTTAAAACCTTTTAAAAGAGTAATGTGATTTGATTTTATTCAATTTTAAGCTGAGATCCTTTTCATCTTGTTGTTAATATCCCTCCTCCCATTTCTTTTGGTGGTACTGGAGATTGAATTTAGGACCTTGGGCTTGCTGGCCAATGCTCTACCACTTGAGCAATGCCCCCAGCCCTTTGTGCTTCAGTTGTTTTTCAGAGAGGATCTTGTACTTCTTGCCTGGGGCTGGTCTCAGACTCTGATTCTCCCACCTCAGCCTCCCAAGTAGCTGGTATTATAGGTATGCACCAGCCCTACCCCTTCTTTTACAAATCAGATATTTATTTCATAAGAAATCTTGGAATCTCTGCCCTTAGAATAAAACCAAGTTTTTTTTTTTTTTTTTTTTTTGAGACTGGGTCTTGCTATATATTTCAGACTGGCCTTGAATTTGTGATCCTCCTGCCTCAGCCTTCCAAATCTAAGAATTACAGTTTTGCACCACCATGCCTAGCTAAAAGCTAAGTTGTTTAAGCATTCAAAGTCTTTCACAGTCTAGCCATGAATTATCTCACATAGTTCCATAGCTTCTGACACCTCACATCTATTCACTGACTGTCCAGTCCCACTGAACGTAATATAATGTGTCCTCTTATGCCTGTGTGCCTCCAAACACCTTGCTTCCTGTTCCTTGGATTTTCCTCCCCTTTTTCTGTCTGTCTTCTGCTCATTCTCTACAATTCCCTCCCTTTTGAGCTTGCCTTCCCTAACTCAGGACACCTATCATTCTTTCCACACTGGAGCATGGCACTGACCACATGTCTTACAATTGTCTCATCTTCTTCCCACCAGTTCCTGGTAGAGTGACTATATACCAAATGAATGAATGAATGAATCGTATCCATGTCCTTAGTCCCTCCTGGCCAGCTGAAAGCTGCGTAAAGGAAGAGGAACTTTGATTATCTCTGCCCTGTGCAGTACTCTGCATATAGTAGTTCTCATGTGCTCTTTACCTGTTTTCTTGTGTTCTCTTTGTGACCTTCCCCTGCCTTTTCCCTTCCAGAACTCTCTGCAGTGTCTGAGCTCCTGCAGCATGGATTGCCCCCGATAAACAGCAGGATCCCTGAAAGCCTTGTCTTCCTATCTGACCGCCAATATGTGGAGGGAGCTGCTCGCCAAAGACAGTACTGCATCCTGATCCTCTACTACCTGGCTTATATCCATGAGGACAGGTCAGTACTCAGAGGTGGTGGAAAGGTCCTGGAACCTCCATCATGGCCCAGTTCAGTGAAATGAACATTTAATCAGGTGTCCTCTAATCCTGGGGCTGAGTACTAGGACACAAGCCCTAATTCTTTCTTAATCTTTTTTTTTTTTGAGACATGGTCTTGCTGGCCTCAAATTTGCAATCCTCCTACCTCAGCCTCCTGAGTACTGGGATTACAGTGGCTCCACATCTGGCTTTATTTATTATTTATTTATTTTGGTGGTAGAGGGCCTTGTACTTGCCAGGCAGGTACTCTACCACTTGAGTAACACTACCAGCCATTTTTGCTTTATATATCTTATTAACAGGGTCTTGAATTTATGCTCGGGCTGGTCTGGACCTGGATCTTCCTGTTTACACTTCCTGCCTAGTTTGGATGACAGGCATGTGCTACCATGCCCAGCTTTTATTGGTTGAGATGGAGTCTCATGAACTTTTTGCCCAGACTGGCCTCGAATTGCAATCCTACTAATCTTTACCTCCCGAGTAGCTAGGATTACAGGCGTGAGCCACCACACCTAGCTCTCAGGCTTTAAATTTTTAAGAAGAAAATTTATCCAGGTAAAATTTATATAACATAAAATTAATCACTTTAAAGGGAACAACTCAGTATTTCCTTTATATGTGTGTGTGTGTGTGTGTGTGTGTGTGTGTATATGTATGTATGTGTATATTACATTTTATATATATAGTACATGTTGAGCAATCACTACCTCCATGTAGTTCTAAAACATTTCCATCACTCCAAAGTAACCCCCTTACACACTCATTATGAAGTCACTCCCATTCCACTTCCCCCCCCATCTCCTAGCAACGAAAATCTGTTTCTTTCTCTATGGATGTATACATTCTGAACATTTCCTATAGATGGAATTATACAATATGTGACTTTTGGTGTCTGGCTTCTTCCACTTAGCATGTTTTTGAAGTTCATCCAGTTAGCATAGTGTTGTAGCACTTCATTCATTTTTTGTTGTTTTGAGAAAGGGTCTTGCTGTGTAGCCCAGGCTGGTCTCAAACTCCAGATCCTCCTGTCTCCACCTTCCTGGGATTAAGGCATGTGCTACAACACCCAGCACCTCATTCCTTTTTATGGCTGAATAATATACATTGTGTGTATATAACACAATTTTTATTTTTATCCATTGATGATTATCTGAGCTCTTTCCTCCTTTTGGCAGTTGAACACATGTGCTGCCAACCTAAAATTAGCAATAGAGAGACTGACTCCAAAGTAAAGACTTTACTCAGGAATAGCAGTGAAAGGGCAATGTGGGATATTTGTGCCAGGATGGATCATAGGCATATCTGAAGGTTTGGAGCAAAAAGAAACTTTTTTGTTGTTCTGGGGTTTAAAAAGAAACTTTTTAAAGACAAAGAAGAGAAGTCTGTGGGTGTAAGCTGTATTTGAAACAAAGTTCATTGGTTTTAGAGGCTTATTGCAGGAATTGGTGTTAGTTTATTGGTGGACACAATTGTTTAGTGGCTTATCTGGAATACTGAAGTCTTGAGGAATTTCCTTGCAATAGGCCTTTACAGGCATTCATGTGTGAGGACTCCCCCTTCTTGACTTCTCAATTTCATTTTCTTAGGGTTTAATATAGTGACTACATTTTTTTTAAAGGAAAGGTACATTAAAATAAAAATAGTACACAGTCTCTTATAATGAATAATAATAATAATAAACCCCATTCAGAATCCAAAGATGTCCACGTACCAGTGACTCACATATGTAATACTGTCTACTTGGGAGGCTGGGATCAGAAGGATTATGGTTTGAGGCCAGTGTGGGCAAATGATTTGGGAGACCCCATCTCCAAAATACCCAGAGCAAAGTGAACTGGAGGTGTGGCTCAAGTAGTAAAGCACCTGCTTTGCAAGTGGGAAGCCTTGAGTTCAACTCCCAGTCCACACACACACACAAGAATCCAAAGATGCCCAATTGCATTGTAAGAAGGTACGCACATTTTAAAAAATCAGATTCATGAAGTATTTTTTTTTAGAACTTTCTTTTTTTTATTTTATTTTTTTTATTATTCATATGTGCATACAAGGCTTGGGTCATTTCTCCCCCCTGCTCCCACCCCCTCCCTTAGAACTTTCAAAAGGAAAAAAAAATTGGCCTCCTCCTGTTGGAGATTTGTCTACAAATATGCTATGCTAGACCAGCATTTCCTTTCAAATGTTCTGTATAATATGGTGTTGGGTAATGTGTGCAATTACTTTGATGAACACCTTGTTTCTGAATAAAATCAGTTTCTGTATGGGTGATCCAGAATATGTCAGTGGTTCCATTTCATAAAAAATATTCCCAGAATGGAAGAGCAGCTACCACCATTTCCCAAAATCTTCAGTTTTAAATGGTACAGGACTAAACTACTGAATCTGAATGCTTTCACATTATTTTGCCTGAGTATCAAACACCGTGTAAAAATTAATGTAAAATCTTAAGTTAGCCAAAATTAATGTCTCTGAAGATCAGAGTTCTTCTTCACTCTTAGCATGGCTGATAAATCTTTTCTGCTTTTGAGTGACTTTTTAAAAACCAGGAACTTACACAGTATACATGTATTTGTGAGTACTGTTTTCAGTTCTTTGGGTGTATATACCTATGAGTAGACAGGAGAAGTCATATGATAGCTCTGTGTTTAACTTTTTGAGGAGCATCCAGACAATATTACAAATTGGCTACACCATTTTGTAATCCCACCAGCAACATTTTAGGGTTCCCTGCATCCTTTTTTTGCGGGGGGGGGGGCTTCAATACGGGAGCTTGAACTCAAGGCTTTATGCTTACTAGGCAGGGTCCTTACTGCTTGAGCCACTCCACCAGCCCTTTTTTGTGTTGAGTATTTTTGAGAAAGGGTCTTACAAACTATTTGCCTAGGCTAGCTTCAAACCACAATCCTCCTAATCTCTGCCCTGAGTAGCAAGGAATATAGGTGTGATCCACTGGTATCTGGCACCTACAGATTGTTAACACTTGTCATTGTCAGTGTTTTGACTATAGACATCTAGTGCACATGAATTGGATTTTTCATTGTGGTTTTGATTTGTAGTTCCCTAATGACTAATGATATTGATTTGAGCACCCTTTCATGTGTTTATTGACCATTTTGTATATCTTTGAGAAATGTCTATTTAGATTCTTTGACTATTTTCTTTAACTGGATTATCTTATCATTGAGTTGTAAGACTTCTTTATGTGTTTTAGGTACAAGTCACTTGTCATCAGACAGATATGATTTGCAGGTATTTTTTCTTATTTTGGTGGCTGCCTTTTCTTTTCTTTTTTTTTTTTTGGTGGGGGGTATGGTGTTTGAACTCAGGTCCTCACACTTGCAAGGCAGGCACTCTACCACTTGGGACACAGTGCCAGCCCATTTTTACTTTTTTGATGTTAACCTTTGAAGCACAAATTTTAAAAATTTTGATAAAGTCCATTTTATCTATTTTTTCTTTCATCATTTGTGCTTTCTGTGTTGTATCTAATAAAAGTGCTTTTCCCTTCCCTAACTTCCATCTCCCTTCTCTTCCCTTTCTTTTTCTGTGCTGGACTCAAACATCCCAGGACCTTGCACATTTTAAGCAAGTACTTTCACACTGACCTACATCCCCAGTTCAAGGAAACCATTTTCTACCACAAGGTTATAAAGATTTACTTTTTATATTTTCTTTTACAGATCTTTTCTTTTTAAAATTTTAGCTCTTACTTTAGTTTTATAGTCTATTTTGAGTTAATGTATAGTGCACATATGGCTATACAGTTATTCCAGCACCAAGTCATCTGACTTTTTTTTTTATTGGCGGTACTGGGGTTTGAACTCAGGGTCTCACTCTTAGTAGGCAGGAACCCTACCATTTGAGCCACATCTCCCAGTCCTCCAATTTTTGAAAACTATATGAGTGCTTAGCACCCTCGCTGAACATTACTTGACATGTGACTTTCTTAAAAGATTTTTTCTTATTTAAAAAAGAATATGTACTGTAAAAATTAAAATAATTGAGTATAAAGTTAAAATTTATCTGCTAGAGTTAACTGTTATCAGGTTCCTACATGAACTTGTCTATGCATATATAAGCTCATATATACTTCTTATTTTTAATATATGCAATGGGATATGTGCTTTTTATCTTAACAGTGTATCTTGGATATGATTTCATGATGGTTCATGTGTCAATAGAACTACCTTATTCTTTTGGTAGCTACATACTGTTTATACTATGGCTGTTATCTATTTATTTATTATTTATTTATTTTGGTGGTACTGGAACTTGAACTCAGGGCCTTGCCCTTACTTGGCAGCCTGCTATACCACTTTATCCATACTCCCAGCCCTTTTCTGCTTTAGTTATTTTTCAGATAGGGTCTTGTGTTTTTGCCCAGGTCTGGCTTGGATTGCAAACTTCCTACCTACATCTCTTGTAGCTGGCATTACAGATGTGTACCACTTCACTCAGTTTTTAATTTTTTTAAATAAACATTTTATTTTGGAGTAATTTTTTAGATTTACAGAAAAGTTTCAAGGAATACAGAGAGTTTTCTTATACTTCCTCATCCATTTTCCTCTAATATTAACATAACCATGGTACATTTATCAAAACTAAGAAACTAGGAAGTATGGCTCAAGCAGTACAGTACCTGCCTAGCAAGCACAAAGCTCTGAGTGCAAACCTCAGTACCACCAAACAAACAAAGAAACCTAAGAAACTAACATTGTTACACTACTATTAACTAAACTTTATTCAGATCTCACCAATTTTACCTCTACTGTTCCTTTTTCTGTCTCAGGACACAGTCCGTGATACCATACTGCATTTAGTATTATCACTTTCTAAATCTTTAATTTTTTTGATAGATAAGACATATCTGTGGTAGAAAATTCAAAGGAAAAGTCAGCCTCCTTCCCTCCCACCATCTTCCTTCAGTATATAAGTCTACACCCCCTTCCTCTACCACTCAGAATAAATATAAGAAGAGAGAGGTGGACAGGCTGCCAAAGAATGCCCTCCTGAACCCCAGAAGAGTCTATGGCCCCTAACGGTCCTGCACAAAGCATCTATGTGAAATACACGTATAACATTGCTTGAAAGTCTATACAGCACATTATTTGTGCACAGTGTCATTAGACTGTGGGCATGTTGAAGTAGGGCAGTGAAGGAGGATGGAGGATGTGGCCAGGCAAGACAGGAGAGTTCACTGGCCTGGTAACTCTGCTTTTCTCACTGAGGTCTCCTTGGTTAACAGGTTTGTTCCAGAGGCAGAGTTATTTGTGGCTGTGCAAAGCTTCCTCCTGTCTCTGCAGGACCAGGGTGAGCTCCCTCCACCAGTGGTCTGCAGAGCCTCCATCTATCTGCTTGCAATCTGCCAGGGCAAGGACAGTGCACTGCATGAGGTATGAACTGGGGCTCTCCTCCTCATGTACCTATTTATGCTAATATTCCTTGGGAGAACGTGATACATGGGTAGACAGGGTGGCAGAGAGACACACGGTAGGGGTGTTAGTGAGAGGAGCAGAGAGAAGGAGGGTGCTGACACATACAGAGCCTATATAAGTTAGCTATTTTCTTACCAGTCTTTGGTGGGGAGATTGTTATGTCCCTTTCATAGATTAGAAAATAGAGACAGAAGTGGAAGTAACTTTCTCATGGTAAATTGATGGGGAAACCAGGATTGTACATCAGGCTTGACTGATCCCAAGGCTCTTTTCTTGATACCACCTCTGGTTTGTAGAGGAGAGAGTTGTGAGGTATTATATCTCCTTTTGGCAATTATTTATCAAATAAAGCAGATTGTTGAACATTGTTTATCAGGCTAATCTTGGATCACTTTAATAGTGATAGTTGTGGTTGGGTGTATACAAGTTTCTCTGCCCAGCTTCTTTAAAAACTCTTAGGAATCAAGGATGGCATCTGATTAATTATGCAGTCTCTCACTTATTTAATAGAAGATTGCTTCTGCTCCTTGGCTATGAACTTTTTTTTTTTTTTGGTGGTACTGGGATTTGAACTCTGGGCCTCAGGCTTGCTAGGTAAGGGCTCTACCACTTGAGCCATTCCACCAACTTTTTTTTTTTGCAGTGCTGGGGTTTGAACTCAGGGCCTAAACCTTGAGCCACTCCACCAGCCTTTTTTTGTGAAGTTTTTTTTTTTTTTTTGAGATAGGGTCTCGTGAACTATTTGCCCAGTCTGGCTTCAAACCGCGATCTTCCTGATCTCTTTCTCCTGAGTAGCTGATTACAGGCATGAGCCACCATCACCTGCCTGGTGTGTTTTAATCAGATATAGTTACTATCCTTTTGGAGCTTACTGTGTCCTGTCTTTGGCCAATGGGAGCCTACTTGAGAGATTCTTAGGCCTTTTGACACAACTGTAGAAGTCTTTGATAGAGTTTGGACTTTCTAGTGTGACAAGTTCTGCTTTTCTGTCCTCTTTTTTCTTCTATATCTTTTTTTTTTGTGGGACGGGGGTTACTCAGGACTTTGCACTTGCAGTGCAGATGCTCTACTGCTTGAGTCACACCTCTGGTTCATTTTGTTATGGCTTTTTAGGAGATGGGGGTTTCTTGAACTATTTGCCTGGGCTGGCCTCAAACCATGATCTTCCTGATCTCTGTGTCCCAACTAGCTAGGTTTATAGGCATGAACCACTGGTGCCCAGCTCCTCTTTTCTCTTGAACTTATGCCAGTTAAACTTTCACTCCTACCACATCTGTGAAAGTATGCTTATCAAAATGACCAATAATCAGCACATGATTATAACCAGCACCAAATATTTAATCATCTTACTTGATCTAGCAACAATATCTCTTTTCTTTGAAACACTGTCTTTACTTGGTATCTAGAATGCTCGGTGTGCCTGGTTTTCCTCTGGCCTCTCTGGCAGTTCTGTCTCAGTGTCTTTCTCTACCTTCTGACTTCCAAGTGTTGTAGGGCCCTGAGGCACAGTCTTTGACTGCATTTATTATTTTTTTTTCTCTAAATTTACTGCTCCTGGGATCTCATATAGTCCTACTACTAGAGTGACACAACTTGAATGACACAAGTCACTTTGTCTGCTAGGATGATAGACTGATGGGTGCAAAGATGGAAACACAGAAAACAGTGAGGAGGCTATAGCAGTAATATAGGCAGGAGACAGCAGAGAAGATAATGTAAAGTGTTCGATCTGGATGTATTTTGAGGGTGAAGCCATTTTTTTTTTTTTGAGACAGGGTTTTGCTATATAGAGCAGGCTTGCATTGAAGTCATGATCCTCCTGCCTCCACTTGCTGAGTGTTGGGATTACAGAAGTGCTCCTCCCCACCTGGTAAAGGGGGAACCATCTTGAGGAATCAGTTGTGAGTTGAGAATAAGAGGATGTTTCTAAGGGTTCTGGTACTGATGTGGGTCAAAGAATTGTTGGATTTAAATAGAGAAAGTCAGCTGCAAAGTTAGGAGGGATGCTTGAAACTGAGATTATTGGGGAGGTTGCAGTTATTGGTAATGACAAGCTCTAGGAATGTGATCATGGGCATGAATGGCTGAAGCAACTGGAGATTTGAAGGGAGGGAGTCAGAGAACTTAGAGGCCAAGGTTTTTGAATTAGGGAGGTCGGAGAGAAAATACCTTTTCTTGAGAGGGTGCAGTCCAGGCAGGTTTTTGGAAGAGAATCAAAGTAACAGGAGAAGGAAATATTCAAAGAGATTGAAAATATGGGGAATTTGCCTGAGTGAGTGCCAGAGGGCAAGAACAGGAAAGGGCTTATTCTGAGCCATATGGGGATGATCCTGGGCTTCTGGTTTGTTTTTGCTGTTGTTGATTTTGTTTTGGTACTTGGGATTGAACCCAGGGGCTTGAGCATGTTAGACAAGTGCTCTACCACTGAGCTACATCACCAGAAAGCCTGGGCTTCTGATGTGATTGATGTAAACAGGGGAAAGGACATATGAGGGAACAACAGGAATAGTCCTGGCTTCAAGACTCATATCCAGCAAGGCTGGATTTCGGAGGAACTCTTCACATGTGCTGGTGATAGTGTGGAGCTTGTGGAACTTGGGGTTTCTGCTTTTAGGTGTGAATCCATAAATGTTACACAACATTGTTTTATATGTTTTACATTTTTTTTTGATGGCACTAGGGTTTGAACTCAGAACCTTATGCTTGCTAGGCAGGTGCTCTCACCGCTTGAGCCACTCTGCCTGTCCTGTGTTTTACATTTTTACGTAAAAGCATAAATGGCAAAACATAATAACAACTTGATTTTTTTTACTCAATTTTACTTTTATTTTCACAGTTTTGTCTCGTTTCATTTTCTCTCTTTCCCCAATTCCACTCCTATCTGTCTATCTATCTATTTTTTGGGGGGCAGCACTGAGGTATGATCTCAAGGCCTCATCCTTTCTAAGCAGGTACTCTTACCACTTGAGTCATTCCATCTGCTTTTTTTGTGATAGTTTCCCCAAACACACACTGGAAATTGAGTCTTTTTTTTATTTCTCTTAGAAATATATTCTGGTGGTCTGGTTGAGAGAAGAGCAGACTCATGAGTCAATAGTCATTGTTTGGTCCTGATTCTCCTGCTGGAAATAAAGACTAAAAAACTCTCTCTGTAGAAGAATAGTTGCTTATTAAAGACTATTAAATAGTTGCTTAACAAAGACCCCAATTAAGATGTATCCACAAGTCCATTAATTGGTAGAGATTAAACATAAAATTTACTATTGGACCGGGAGCCAGTGGCTCATACCTGTAATTCTAGCTACGTGGGAGGCAGAGATCAGGAGGATCATGGTTTGAAGCCAGCCCCAGGCAGATAGTTTGAGAGACCCCATCATTTAAAAATAATTTTCAGGCAATTTTTAGATATGCCCTTTTATCCATTAAATACTTCAAGGTGCATTTCCTAAGAATAAGGTCTTTGTAGAATTCCTGGGTTCAATCCCTAGTACTACAAAACAAAACTAAAGTAAACTAAACTAAAAAACAAAACAAAACTATCCTTGGGGCTGGCTTAGAACCACTTATGGACCTCTTCAGGAGATTTACCTGATGGCCTAGTCTACCCATTCAAGGCTTTTCTTTTGCCTTTGTCTTTGAATTTGCCTTCCCCAAGTAGTATCTTCTATGAGAAGGCTACCTTGCTGCTTTCTATCTGTGAATGTCTTTTATACAGGTGGGTGATCTTGAAAACATGAATTGTACTAAAAGACAGGACTCCTGGGTTCACCTTCAGGGTCTACCATCAATGTTCTACACATTCCTAGAAATGTCTGCTTCCCTTTCTGAGCCTAGGGCATACCAACCAGAAGTGAACAGTTTAGGCAAGTGTCATCTTTGAGATTTTTTCTGACTCTCACAATCCTTGATCTTCTGTGGGAAGCAGTGAAGATGAGTTGGTATGCATTGATTGTGTATGAGAACCTCCAGCAGGTGGAGTGTAGATGTCTCTGGGATGATGGACATTTAGAGAATCAGGCCCTCTGTATCCCTGGTAATACTTTGTTCTCAGCAACTTCCATTTTGATCAGCATTTCCTAAGTCCTTGAATACTACTCTGCATATGATTTTTTATTTATCTCTTAACGTTTTGGCAACTCAGTCAAAATGGATTGACCACTTGACATGTTCTTGGTACTATGTGGGGCCCTGTCAATATGGGATGAGTCAAACAACTTCCCTGCCCTCTGAGAACAGCAGTTTGCCAGGAGATACAAAAAGATGTACAAGGCATGCAACTTCTGCAATGAGTGGTCTCCTGGAGGTGGAAGATCAGTCAAGAACTATCAAAGCACACAGGAGACAGTGTATCTGATTATGGCATCAGGAAAGGCTCCATAGAGGAGATGGAAGAAGTGAGGGGAAAACTTTTAGGTTGACAGTAGAACATGATCTAAGACACAGAAGTGAAAAATTGGTGCTGAAGATGCAGCTCACATGCTCCATGCCCTAGGTTTGATCTCTAGTTGTGGGAGAAGGAGATTGAAAGTTACCTAGTCTACCCATTCAAGGAAGGAAGCCCAGTTTAATGTGCTTTAGCTAAGTTATGTGTGAGAGAATATGGAGAAGAGCTAAAAAGGTTAATTTCAGTCTTTAATAAACATGCTTGAAAATGAAATTCCATTATACAATAGTATCAAGAAATTAAATAGTTAAGAAGGAATAAACTTTTTAAAAATATTAGGACTTGAAAGCTGGGTGCCAGTAGCTTACGCCTGTAATCCTAGCTACTCAGGAGGCAGAGGTCAGGAGGTTGTAGTTCAAAGCCAGCCCAGGCAAATAGTTTGTGAGACCCTATCTCCAAAAAGCCTTCACAAAAATAGGGCTGGTGGAGTGGCTTAAGGTGTAGGCCCTGAGTTCAAACCCAGAACTGCAAAATATATATATAAATATACATCTATATATATATCTATATATATGGACTTGAATGATGAAATTTTCAAAGCTTTACTACATTTCTTTAATATTTTATGAAATTAAAGACCTAAATAAATAGACATTTGTGTTTGTGAATTATGACATAATAGTATTAAGGTGGCAGTACTCCCCAAATTGATCTATAGATTGTGTGCAATCCCTATTAAAATTGCAGCTGCCCCTCACCCACCTTTGTTTTCAGAAGTGGACAAACTGGTTGCAAAATTCATAGGGAAATGAAAGGGACTCAAATTAGCCAAAACAGTCTTGAAAATGAGGAACAAAGTTGCAGGACTCAGGGTCTTGGGATGTAGCTCAGTAGGAGAGTGCTTGCCTGGCATGTGCAAGGCCCTAGGTGTTTGAGCCCCAGCACTGCAAAAAAAAAAAAAAAAAAAAAAAAAACCAAACAAAAAACAAACAAACTTGGAAAACTCACATTTATTAATTTTAAAACTTAAAAAGTAATCAAGATAGTATGGTACTGGCATAAGTGTGAACAATATAGAGCAATATAGAGACTAATAATAGTCAATGAAATTTGCAGGGAAATCTGGGTATACACATGTAAAAGAATGGAGTTGAACTCTTACCTTATACTTCTTATACAAAAATTAACTCAAATGGATCAAAGACCTAAATGAAAAAGCCAAAGTGTAAAACTTTTAGAATAGTTATGTTAGTCAGAATTTCATCACTGTGACAAAATACCTGGGAAAACAACTTAAGGGAGGAAGGTTTTTTTTTTTGGTTCATGGTTTCAGAGATTTCAGTCCATCATGACAGAGCAGAGAAACTCACATCTTGGTGGCCATGAAGCAAAGAGAGAGAATGCCTATACTAACTGGTATTCTTTTTTCCCCTTTTATTCCATGTGGGCTCTTAGCCTATGTGGTGGTGCCACATATGTAGGGTGCCCCTCCCCCTTTGTTAATGTTCTCTGGAAATGCCCTCACAGGCACACCCAGGTATGCTTTACTAATCTAGGTACTTCTCAATCCAATGAAGTTGGCAGTCAAGATTAACCATCACGATAGCATTCTAAGGAATTTGAATGTTGTATACATACATTGGAAAGAGGTAGGTTTTGAAGGATTAATAAATGATTCAACACACTTCTGATTTACCTCTTCTGAGCCAGGCCCTATGCTAGGTGTTCCTGCTCTCAAGCTTTCAGTTTAGTATGGGAAGTAGACAAGTACACTGACATTTATAACACATTATAATATCATCATAGAGCTGGGTTTCTCAACCTCAGCACAACTAATATTTTGCATTGCATTTTTTTTTCCTGTGAAATCGTTGCTGTATATTGTAGGAAATTTAGCAGCATCCCTGCTGTCTCTCCACTAGAGGCCAGTAGCATTCTCCAAGTAAACGTAATAAAAAATTGTCTTCAGACATTATCAAATGTCCCTACAGGAGCACTGTGGGGTTTTCTCACCAGAGCACCTTGGGATGATCCTGGAATACTGAGATGCCAGTACATTTTCCCCAGTTGTATCTTGGTTATGTTGGGGTCTCAGGTCCTGAGCAAAGTGTGTTTAGCTCCTTTCTTTCTTTTGCCTCCAGACTGTGGTCAGTGCAATCAGAAAATTCCTAGAGGGCATTTCAGACCTGCACTTGGTTTACACCCATCACCCTCTCCTGCTCAAGTTCTTCCTGGTGTATCCAGAACTGATGAGTAGGTTTGGGCACCGTGTCCTGGAACTTTGGTTCTCCTGGGAAGAGAGCAGCTATGAGGAACTGGATGATGTCCCTTCTGCTGGGCAGCCCACCCTTCCTGCCAGCTTAGCAGCCATGTTCCAGATGCTCAGGAGCAGCCCCAGCATTCTGCTCATTTTGCTGGTAGGTGACCACTCATTCAGAGATGGCAGGCCTTCTGTCTCTGTGAACCAGTTTACTGAGGTCAAGAGGCACCCACAGTTGCTTCTACCTACCTCTAGACTTATTGCTATCTACATGTGAATGGGAGGTCCTTTCTGCTTGTAGGTGCCTAGTTTCTGCAAATTCATACCTTTTTTTAAGTTGATAGAGGTCTATTCACTGAGACAAATGTGGCTGTACTTCCCAGAGGATGTAATTATAAAATGTAGATCTCAGTCACCATTCTCTTTCACCTTTCTGTCCTCTTTCTCAAGAAGATTCTGCTAAGAAGGGTTTAATGTAAAGAAGATCCTAGGACATGTAGATGGAAATGTCTGTTTGAAAAATTTTTCTTTTTTCTTCTATGACTATACTCACATGATATTACACGTGTGACACAGTCCCTTAGGCATATCTAGAATTGTTAGAAACCCTAGTTTTTTTTTTATAATGCAAGACATTACTGTAATTCCCATCAAGTTGATCAGTTAGATAAGGTAGATTGCCTATGTCTGCAACTTCTTTTTTCTTTTTTTTGTTGGCAATACTGGGGTTTGAACTCAGGGCCTGATGTTTGCTAAGCAGGCACTCTACCACTTGAGCTATACCCATAGCCCTTTTTTGCTTTAGTTATTTTTCAGATAGGGTCTCACATTTTTGCCTGGGTCAATCTTAGACTGAGATCCTCCTACCTACAGATTCCCACATAGCTGGGATTAGGATTGTACACTACCATGCCCAGTTTATCGAATGAGATGGGGGGGTCTCACTAACATCAACCCCTGACTTCCAACAGTGATCCTTCTAATCCTGAGTAGCTTCAATTAAAGGCATGAGCTACCTTGCTCAGTCTATTGTCTGCAACTTCTAACACACTGGCTTTAACTCCACCCTTTTCTCCTTCCACTCAAGAGAGAACATTGGAAAACTAATCAGAGTGAGATTATTATAGAGGTAACAGCTATAATTTATATAGCTTTTCAAAAAGGAAATTATTTGCACATTTCACACTTTGCATTGAGTTAGAGATTGCTAGCAGCAGGTCCCAAACTGATTGCAGTCTATCAGTGTAGGAGACATTCCATTTAGAGCAACTGCTTTCAATGCCAGTTTATCCACTCAGCACCACCAGCCCAGGGAAGATAACACAGCTCCTTAAAGAAGAATGGGAATCCTATGATGCTGCCATCAACAAATATGATTTTATGATTCTACTGGAGTGCCTTTGCCAGTAATTATGCACCAGCTTTTCATTGCCCCATGTCATTATTATCTGTATCTGTCCATATTCACATATTGCTCCCTACTCAGACTAAAATCTTAGCGTCCCATCCCTGAGATCTGTTGTCTTGTAAAGTCACAGATATGTTAGCTTGTGTTCATGCTTTAGCTCAAATTCTTCCTTGGAGGAGGAAGAGTAGAGAAGGGATGGGTTAAAATGTGCACAAGGGAGAGGCAAATTGGGGTATCAGGGAGAGTAGCAGTGGATAGAGCTAAGATACTAGGTTTTCTTTGCCAGATGAAGTATTCTGGGTTAGTTCCTCACACACAGTAGGAGCTTATGAATTATTTTTTTACTTGGTTTTGAGACAGGGTTTTGTTGTATTACCCAGGCTGACCTTGAACTTGAGATCCTCCTGCTTCAGCCTCCCCAGTATCTGGGATTACAGATGTGTACAACTGTGGTTGGCTTGGGTGCTTATAAATATTTACTAACCCATTGAATTAGGGGTCTGAACAGATCTAAGTCTCTCAAAAAACTGCATCCTCAGAGAGATACTAACGAGAGTATGTTATTTTTTAAACAGATGAAGAAATAGATTTAGAGAGATTTTCTGATGTCAGAAAAGTTGTGATTAAAACACAAATTTTACTCCCTATTTAATGTTCCAATGTTCTTTCCAACCAAGCTCTCTAAGTTCTTGGTCTCTCTCTCTCTGCCTCTCTCTCTCTCTCTCTTTCTCTCTCTCTCTTTTTCTCTCTCTCTTTCCCCCACCCCTAGTTTTTTTGAGATAGAGTCTCAAAAATCTCAGGCTGGCCTCAAACTCATGATCCTCCTGTCTCAGCCTCCTGAGTGCTGGGATTGTAGGTGCCTAACAAAGCTAACTCTTTTTTTTTTTTTAATTTTAATTTATTTTTTTGGTAGTACTGGGGTTTGAACACAGTCGCTCTGCCACTTGAGCCACACCTCCAGTTTAGTTTGCTGTGCTTACTTTTTTTTTTTTATTATTCATATGTGCATACAAGGCTTGGGTCATTTCCAAAGCTAACTCTTAACAAGAGAGAAACCAACCCTGAGTTAGTGTTCGTTGTAATGGAAGAGTGGTTTGAACATGTGAGAGACAGAGAATTGGAATTTACCACTGACTAACATCTTTGTTAAGGAACCAAACACAATAAACCATAACCACTGTACTATAAAGTTGAGCAGAATACTTGGGTGACAGGAAGGCAAAAAAGTGTCATATGCTGATTCTTAAAAAGATTTGACAAGTGAGGGATTGGGGATGTAGTTCAGTGGTACAGTGTGTGCAAGGCCCTGGGTTTGATTACTAGCATTGCAAAAATAAATAAATTAATTTTTAAAAAGATTTGACAAGTGGAAAGCATTGTGGGGAGAATCCTTCCGGGCTAGCATAGCAGCATGAAAGTACTTACTGTAATTCAGGGACCTGGGTGGTCTGATGTGGTCTTGGAGCTTGGAGGACACATCACAGAGATGAGGCTGAGAAAAATAGAAGAGGAACAGGTTTAGGCAGCCTTCAATTCAGTCTCTTGCTTTTTCATTTATCCTATGTTGATTTGGTACTTACCAGGCACTAAAAATGGGAATACAAAAATGATTTGGATGTGGTCAGTCATTTGCCTTGAGGAAATCATAGACGTTGTTTCATGTCTGTCACCTTGTAGGGACCTAGAAATTATCACAAGAGGGAGGGAATCAAAGAATGATGACACCAAAATGAATCTCAAATCGTAAGTGCAGCCTATGGTCATGATAGAAGGAGTGTGAGCCCTGCCAGATTTATTCTCAAGTTGCTGTGCATGTTTTCCACCCTAACCCAGAAGCTCACTGGCCCCTGCCCTCTCACTCTTTCCACTTTCATTTCCTTCCCCTTCATAGCCCAACTCCTAGAAGTAGGGCAGGAGGTGTGGCATTTGCCCCTGCTCAGCAAAATGCAAAAGCTCTGGAGTTCAACCCCTCGTGCTGCCAAAAGAAAACAAACAATACAAACAATTACAAAACAACTCCTAGAAAGTAATTGTCCCCCAAATTTTCACCTGTTTCATTCATTCTTCCACCCTTTGGCTTCAGTCCCTACTATTCCTTCAAATTGTTCTCACCAGGATCAGCAAGGATGTCTTTGTGTTTAATTACCATGGACTTTTTGGTTCTTATCTTACCATGACCTGTTTGATATTATTGATGACTGTCTACTTCCTTTTTAGTAACATACACATACTCTTGTTTTTATTTTTTTTTTAATTTTTTTTTTTTCATTTTTTCCTTTTATTATTCATATGTGCATACAATGCTTGCTTTGGGTATTTCTCCCCCCTGCCCCCACCCCTCCCTTACCCCACTCCGCCCCTCCCTCTCCCCTACCCAATACCCGCAGAAAACTATTTTGCCCTTATTCTAATTTTGTTGTAGAGAGAGTATATAAGCATAATAGGAAGGAAAAGGGTTTTTGCTGGTTGAGATAAGGATAGCTATACAGGGCATTGACTCACATTGATTTCCTGTGTGGTGAGTGTGTTTACCTTCTAGTTAATTCTTTTGATCTACCTTTTCTCTAGTCCTGTCCCCTTTTCCTATTGGCCTCAGTTGCTTTAAGGTATCTGCTTTAGTTTCTCTGCGTTAAGGGCAACAAATGCTAGCTAGTTTTTTAGGTGTCTTACCTATCCTCACCCTCCCTTGTGTGCTCTCCTTTTATCATGTGCTCAAGTCCAATCCCCTTGTTGTGTTGCCCTTGATCTAATGTCCACAGCATATATGAGGGAAACATACGATTTTTGGTCTTTTGGGCCAGGCTAACCTCACTTCAGAAATGATGTCTCCAATTCCATCCATTTAACCAGCAAATGATAACCATTTGTTCTCTTCATGGCTGCATAAAATTCCATTGTGTATAGATACCACATTTTCTTAATAATCCATTCAATTCAGTGTGGGCATCTTGGCTGTTTCCATAACTTGGCTATTGTGAATAGTGCCGCAATAAACATGGATGTGCAGGTGCCTCTGGAGTAACAGTCTTTTGGGTATCTCCCCAAGCACACTCTTGGTTTTAATTATGTCTCCTCTTGATTTTCCCTTCTTTTCTCCATGCTCCTTCTCAGTCACGTAGTTTCTGTACTCTGGCTAGCTCTTGAAAGTTTGTGTTCCTCAAAATTCTGTTCTAGACTGTCTTCACTAGTGCAGTCTCCCTGGGTCTGATTACCTCCTGTCTGTATGGTAATTACTCAAATCTCTGTCACACCTCTGACTACTCTTACTTTGGTCTCATAATGTCAACCATTTATTTGACACTTCATGTAAAATGGAGTTATTGGGCTGGGAATGTAGCCTCAGTGGTGAGCACATGCTTAGTTAGGGCTGAATGAGCCCTGGGTTTCAATCCCCAGCCATAAATAGATAGATAGATAGATAGATAGATAGATAGATAGATAGAAAAAAAAATTTTAATAAAAATAAAATGGAGCTCTTATCTTAAGTTTTCTTTATCAGTCTGGGCCTGGCTGAAGGCTGTCCTAAGCCACCAGTTGCACAGAAAATAAGTACTGAAAAGAAGTAAGGCAAAAAAAAAAAGAAAGTGCTTTTCAGAAGACTAAATCCTTAGAGTCCATATTCCCAGGAAGCTGGAGTCGGTGCCACATTTTTATCCTAGTGGTCCACTCCTTGTCCTTGAATATGTATCATCGTCCTTGTCTCTCCTTCCTGGAGGAGAGGAGCCTTCTATTTCCTCTGATCTAGAACTCAACAGGAAGGAGCTGCCTTCAGAACTGGATGCTGTTTAGAGGTATAGGAAGATGGAAACTTCTCTGATCTTCACTTTTTTCACATATGAAATGGAGATAACATTAGGGTGAAGGAGATAGTAAATAGTAACACTGCACACAGTAGGCTATCAATTACTAGTCATTGACTCTGACTCTGGACAAGATGAAGAATGCTCATCTCCCAGAGAGGCCAATTGGATTGCCCAAGGTCATATAGCTAATAAGTGTTATGGCCATAACTGGAGCCCAAAGTTAATGAGTTTCACTGTATTATATCCTAGAAACATCAGTGGTCAAAAAGAACAGCAAGGAACAAGTTTCTTGTCTGTTCATATATATAATTTGTACCATTTCTCCCCAGCTTCTAGCCATAGGAGGGGAAAAAGTCTAAAAATATGTGTTGGTACCAATTTCTGTTTTTGATATGGGTAATTAGCAGTTGAAAACAAAGCTGTTAATTGCCACTCTTATCAATGGGTGGTCTTTTATGTAGGATGTTTAGATGTGAAAAACAGTGATGTCACAGAAAGCTTTGGTTGTTCCTTGCTTGGGCAAGTCATCTCAATAGGTCCAGCCCTAAGAGAGTCTGAACTGCTGTGGATAGCAGAAGATGCACTGTGGGCCATAGTTCTACCCAGTACCTTCTTACTGACCCATGTGATGGGATGCACACCTTCCCCCAGCATTCATTATGACCACCAAAAACCAACTAGCCCCTTTCCTTTCTGTTCTTTAAAATTCTTTAACTCAGTTTTCTAAGGAACCAACTTTTGGCAGTGAGGCAGGAATAGGCCAGTGAAAGAGAGGGACCAAGGAAACTGGTTTGACTTTGGGCTCCATGACTTTGGGCAAATCACTCCTACCTCAGGTTTCAGCCTCACACTCTATGAAGTATAAGTTGAATGAAATGATCTAGATTTGTTGTTGTTTGTTTTTTGCTGTACTTTTTCTTTTCTTTCTTTCTTTCTTTTTTTTTTTTTTGGTGGTACCAGGGTTTGAATTCAGGGCCTCATGCTTGCTAGGCAGGTGTCCTACCACTTGAGCTACTCCACCAGCCCTGTTTGGTTTTTGAGACAGGGTCTTGTTATATAACCCAGGCTGACCTGAAACTCACTTATGTAGCCCAGGCCAGTATCAAATTCAAGATCCTCTTGCCTCAACCTTGAGTGCTGGGATTGCAGGAGTGCACAACCCTGCCTGGCTCTGAAATGATCCAGATTATCTGTAACCCTTTAATTTTGTGATCTTCTCTTCCCAGAGATGTTTTCTGAGTCCCTACAAAGTGAAAGACAAAGGAGATCTTATCCCTTCCCCCTTGTTTTTTATTTTATTCATATGTGTATACAATGTTTGGGTCATTTCTCCTCCCTTCCCCCTGCCCCCTCCTCATCCCTTCCCTTCATGAACTCACAGTGTAATATAATTTACAACTCTACTACTTTCTTGTTAGGCAAACTAATAATCTGCCTTATTTTCTTCATCTGAAAAATTGGGCTGTACTTAGCTACTTGGTCAAGCTATATTTTGGGAATGTATTATTACTTTATGATCAATTTGGTTTTGATAAAATCTAGATTTTACCTTAATAAATCTGCTTTGTTAAAAAAAAAAGAAAAGAAAAATTGGGCTAATACCTAATTAGAAGAGTTATTGTGAAGATAGAAACAATGTATAAAAAAATGTACAGCTAGTGTATACACACAACACAGCACCTGACATTATTAGGCCCTAACTGAGCAGTTGGTACTAATATTATACTTGTTTCTTTAGTAACTGTGGAGGTTTGTGAAAAGCTAAGCCAAATGCCCTTGTGTTCTCATCCTTCCCTGCTAGACTAATGGCCAGAACATCAGGATTTGTCTGACTGAGTGCCCTGTAGTCATGTCTTTTTGTGTCAGGATTTGTCCTCTCTGGAGAGAGAGAGTCTGTGTGTGACCTTGGATTTGTAGCACCCAGTCCTAACTGGCCTGATACATTAGCCTGTCCAAAGGAATTGGCTTGTTTGAGCTGGTAGATGCCAGGAGCTATCAGTAGGACAGCCACTGGAGCAGCTTCTGACTGGTTTTGTCTTTAACATACGCTCATTAAAATAACTCTGAAAGTAAAACAAAAAGCAATGTCCTTTTCTGTTTTCTAAACCCAAAGTTTTTTCAGCCTGGGGCAGGGATAGACAGATGCCATGGCAGAGAAGAAGCCTGACCTGTCCCTCATTTCCCTTCCTGTGCTCTGAATCTGTCCCAGCCTATCCTTTCCCTGGCCTGTGACATCTCTATCCTCTCTCCTTCTTTTCTCCCTTAAGGTACACTTAGGTTTCCTGTCCTGAAAACAACCTCTTACTGACTAATATTTTCATTTGCAAGAGGTAGGAACCTTGGAAAGGGTTTGGAGTTCAGAGACGTACATTCACATCCTTGGTGTCAGTTACTGCTTATGTTACTTTGGGCAAATTATGTAATCTCTCTGAGCCTCCATTCATTTACATTTGGGATTGACTTAATAGTATGAGCTTGTTCTTTCAGGATGTGTAAATAGTCAGAGCACCTAGCAGAGCCTTTGGTACAAAATAGGAGCTGAGTGACAGCTCACTCAAATTCTGTGACACTATTATCCTAGGCACTTTTCCTGCCCCTGTCTTCTTCGTTGTCTACCTGACCCTAGCTGTGATGCCCTCTGAGATCTAGCTTCTTCTTCCCTGCTCAGGACCTTGTCTATTCCAGCCCAGTAGACATTGCCTACAAGGTACTGATTGTCCTGAGGAACTTCTTGAGGAAGAATGAAGATATCCAAGTGGGCAGTCTCGTCCGAGGCCACTTCCTGCTCATCCTACAGCAACTGCTGGTGGAGCACGGGGCCTCCCCTTCTGAAGGTCAGTCTTCAGATGCCTTGGGCATATTTTGACCTAAAGTCCAGCCAAGAGTGGGCAGCTCTGTCCTGGTGAGGTCTGCTCTAGGAGAGAGAATCAAGGGTTTTGCTATGAAAGAAAAGTTAGGTCAATGTGGCACAGCATGCTAGTTGTATGTGTGTGTGTGTGTGTGTGTGTGTGTGTGTGTGCAGGTGTGTGTTTAATATGAGTGGGTGTGTTTGATGTATTTATGCATGTCCCCACCCTGTGCAGCATGTTCTCAGAGCTGTTCATCACAAGAGTGGCAGCCCCCAGTGGGAAGAAGAAAGTGGAAAATCTGGGGGAGGTTGGAGAGCCAGCAGGGCCCCAGGAGGGCGGTGGATCTATAATGTGTTAGAAGTTCCCAGTGAGATGCAGGAGGATAGTTGCCAAATCTGGAATGGGACCCCTGGAGTCAAGGAAGCTTAATGTTTGGTACTGTATGAGCAGAATGAAAATTGGGGTTGGTTTGTCTTTCCTATTTTTAGAGAGGCTGAATTTTTTTAAAACTAAATTTCTGATCTATCAAGAGAAAGTAGGAGGAGATCCATGGCTTACTTGCTTCAGTTCTGGCTGAGGACTGGGGTTTGGAGATAGATTTAAGGGCATCTGAAAGAGCTGAGTCCTTCCTTTTCAGGGAAGAACAAGACACATCTAAATGATAATACTGCTTAAGAACCACAAGATATAGAGGATATACATGGGAACCAGATTCAGATTTGGGTTCAAGGCCTGGCCGTCTTAGTCTGTTTGCTATTATAACAGAATACCATAGACTGGGTAGCTTATAAACAACAGAAATTTATTCCTAACAGCTCTAGAAGCTAGGAAATCCAAGGTACCAGAAGATTTGGTGTCTAGTGAGGACTCACTTCCTGGTTCATAAACATCTTCTTACTGTGTCCTCATATAACAAAAGGGGCAAAGGAAGAGTTCTTTGGAGTCTGTAATCCCATTTATTGGGGCTCTGCTTTCAAGTATGACCTAATCAACTTCTGAAGGCCCCCTTCCTAATAGCATCACATTGGGGGTTAGAATTTCAGGAAAGGAATTTGGGGAGGGGGTCACAAACACTCAAATAATAGCACTCTTCCCTTTATTAGCAGAGTGATAGAAGTCCCTCAGCCACTGTGAGCCTCAATTTTTAACTGCAAAATAGGAACAATAATCTCTGCTTCATGTTTGTTTGTTTTGGGAGGAGGGCTTATTTGCTTATTTTTGTTTGTTTTTGGTACTGGGGATTGAACCCAAGGCCTCACACTTGCTAGGCAAATGCTTGACTACTTAGATTACCCCCCTTTGTTTTTATTTGGTTTTTAAGATAGTGTTTAACTTTGCCCAGGCTAACCTCAAACTTTCAATCCTCCTGGCCTCTACCTCCCAAGTAGCCAGGATTACTGGTAGGTGCTACCACACCCAGTTTCACATATTTTTAATGGACTTAAGTGAAATAATGAATTCCTAATACTAATCCAGAGTCCACATTCAGTATATCAGCTATCCCTGTATCTCATAAGGAAGGATGGAGGCAGGAAGTAGAGGTAAATTCCAATAAACCACCTGATTCATTTGGAAATAGACAGCCTATGTACCCCCTGTTCAGGGCTATTTATAGCAGGGAGGGGCGTCTGACCTTTGGGTGCTCTTGAGTTCAGACTCCCTGATCAGCCATTCCTATTCTTCATATTCAGGGAACCTGCCACTACTGCTGAGCCTCCTGTCCTTGGTACAGCTGAGGAACAAGTCAGAACAAGAACTGGACAGCATGGCTATGAAACTCCTTCACCAAGGTACCTTGGCTGCTTCAGACAGTTCCCAAGGGCTCAGGACTGACATATAGTGGTGCTCATTCAGTATTGCTGGTGTTTCTTCCTTGATCCTTTTGGAAGAAGCTATTAGGTCAGTCTGTCCCCAGAGACTTCTTGCTGAGAGACCTTTTGGGGCTCCCCTCTGCTTGTTCTCAAGGAGTATTTGGGAGGATCTCCATACCCCAAAATTCAGCATGTGATAGGCATGAGCTCTGGAGTCAGAAAGACCTTTGCATAGTAGCTGTGTAATGTTGGACAATCACCTTGCTTGTACAAAATCTAGACTCCTCATGGGTAAAATAATGATGCTTCCCTGATACAGAGATGAGATGGGAATACCCGATCTGATAGATGTGGAATGCCACACAGTGCTTGGCATGTCGTAGGCCTTTGGCAGATACTGTCTTTGTCAATTCATGTTTTGTTTCCTGGCACAGTTCAGCTCTCTACCTCATCCCACACTGACTCAGTTCTAATGACTCAGTTCACAGTTCTCTTAAGGGTATTTCCTACCTGTACTCCAGATCTCATTGAGACCTTTCATTGCTCATGAATGTAGTCACCACTTCATAGGCAACACCCACAGGAAGAATTGTTGAGGGTGGATTGAAATGAGTAGGAAAAATGACATGTCTTCAGTGTCTATGGACTTAGGTCCTCTGACCACAGCTGAGAATGTGAGTAGCTTTCCCTGTCCAGAGCCCAGGCTCCTCAAGAGATCTGTGTCAGGCTCAGAAAGGTCTTCTGGGGACTTCTACAGAACCTGCCTTTACCTGGTGCTGGTTATTACTATCATGTCAAGGCTAACACCAAGCTAGAGCAAGATCTGTATGTCACAAAATCAGCCTTTAGGAGGACCTCTGATAAGGCTGAAACCTGCACGTGAAATGTAATAGTTACTTGTAATTCTTGAATACTTCTATTGGAGAGCACTGGGAGAAGAGGAAAGTGTTTTGGGGGTGGAGACCTACTTGTTCAGTTGACCAAAAGCCAAGTCAGTTCAGTGTGGTGTGGCTGCCAGAAGTGAACAGAGACTTAGGCAGGTTTCATAGTGGGAGAAAGGAGTGGCAGTTTTCATGAGGAAAGGGACATGTTCTATACATGTCTTCTCTTTAGAGTAATAACTGCTCTGTTGAAAGGTGGGAAATACAGAAGAGGAGGCATCCCATTTCTTTTTTTTATTCTTTCCCCATAAGATGCCTTGTGGAAATTTTATTATGTAGTATAAAATGAATTGTCAGTCAAATAAAAAGAACACCTTTTTTAAAAACAACATGCATAATATCTCCCAATTGCCTTTTTCATAGTTAGACATTTCAAGCATTGCAAGAAAAATAAAGAGAAAAAAACCTAGAAATTATAACTTCAGTACATTTCAAATGGAATTGTTCCTCAGGTCAATTAAAAAGGTATCCCATCTTGAGAGGTTATAGAGGCTTCACAGGGGAGGTGAACTTTGAGTTACTCTTTTTTATTTGTTTGTTTTGTTTTTGAGACAGGGTCTCACTATGTACCCCAGGGTGGTCTCAAACTGAATGTTGATTGCTGAATGGAAGTTAAGGAAATTAGCCAGAGGGAGGTGATACAAAAAAGAGAATATGGCCACTGGTGTGATAGTGCAGGCATGCCTGCAATCTCAGCACTCAAGAGGTTGAGCTCAAATTTGAGGCTAGCCTGGGCTACATAGTGAGACCCTGTCTCAAAAAACAACAAGAGAGGACTGGTGGAGTGGCTCAAGCTTGAGGCCCTGAGTTCAAACCCCAGTGCTGCCAAATCAAAAAAACAAACACAAAAATATAATAGAGAATGGGGGGAGGGAAGGACAGAGGGAGAGGGAGAATGAATATGTGGCAAGTGCAGGGATCTGTACATCTGTCATTATCACAGAGTTCCTCAGGAGGCTAGATGTTCTTATGGAGAAAGGACTCCTGCTAAGGTGGCAGGTTGGCCTAGATGGCCTCTGCAGACCCTTGCGTCCTGACATCTGTGATGGTATACATATAGTTAGAGGATGCCCTTAACCAGCTCAACTCAGTTTCTTCTGAAACAAGTAGTCTGTTCTGGCTACAGTCTTTCTGTGAGCTTCTTGTGATTTGTCTAGATGGGGGTGTGTGTGAACATGCCTTCAAGTTTGTCACTGTGTTTCTTTCCATTGACTGTAATGTTAGGTACACTTAGTTTGTGTTTGTTTCCCAAGACAAACACCTGAAATTAGCCAGTTTCAGGCTATCATCTGTGAGAAGGGTGAGTGTTGGTGTGCCTTTAAGCCATGAAATGCTGTGCAATAAGCCACCTAGGGACTCTGGTTTCTTGCAGTGAGCAAACTGTGTGGGAGGTGCGGCCCTACTGATGTGGACATCCTGCAGCCCTCCTTCAACTTCCTGTACTGGAGCCTTCATCAGACCACACCCAGCAGTCAGAAGAGAGGTACAGGAGCCCAGACAGGCATAGTGAAGAGAAGAGTGGGCAGTGTCAGGACTCTTTGCTCTAAGGGCCCTTCCTTCTCTCAGTTTTTTTATCTTAAAAAAATAACTGGCCGTACGCCAGTGGCTCACAGCTATAATCCTAGCTACTCAGGAGGATCTCAGTTTGAAGCCAGCCTGGGCAGACAATTTGCAAGACCCTATCTCAAAAAACCCCAACACAAAAAAGGGTTGGTGGACTGGCTCAAAGTGTAGGCGGTGAGTTCAAACACCAGTACCACAAGAAAATAAATAAACAAACAAATAAATAAATAAACAACTGGAGTTCATCAGGTTGAGTGAGATAAGCCAAGCTCAAAAAGCCAAATATGCATGTTTTTGCTCATATACAGAATCTAGACCAAAAATGATGGTGATAATATTAATAATACTGGGCCATGAGCATAAGAGGTACTGTCTGGGGATGGGGATCAGTGGGAGGGGGAAAGGAGAAGATATGAAGATATTGGGGGTGAACAGGATCAAAGTGCAAAAATATGTGTGTGTGTGTGTGTATTATATATATATATATATATATATATATATATAGAGAGAGAGAGAGAGAGAGAGAGAGAGAGAGAGAGAGAGAAAATGGATCAAGGATCTTAATATCAGACCACAAACTCTAAAGTTGATACAGGAAAGAATAGGAAATACTCTGGAGTTAGTAGGTATAGGTAAGAACTTTCTCAATGGAACCCCAGCAGCACGGCAACTAAGAGATAGCATAGATAAATGGGACTTCATAAAACTAAAAAGCTTCTGTTCATCAAAAGAAATGGTCTCTAAACTGAAGAGAACACCCACAGAGTGGGGGAAAATATTTGCCAGCTACACATCAGACAAAGGACTGATAACCAGAATATACAGGGAACTTAAAAAACTAAATTCTCCCAAAACTAATGAACCAATAAAGAAATGGGCAAGTGAACTAAACAGAACTTTCTCAAAAGAAGAAATTCAAATGGCCAAAAAACACATGAAAAAATGCTCACCATCTCTAGCAACAAAGGAAATGCAAATTAAAACCACACTAAGATTCCACCTCACCCCTGTTAGAATAGCCATCATCAGCAACACCACCACCAACAGGTGTTGGCGAGGATGCGGGGAAAAAGGAACCCTCTTACATGTTGGTGGGAATGTAACTAGTACAACCACTCTGGAAAAAAATTTGGAGGCTACTTAAAAAGCTAGACATCGATCTACCATTTGATCCAGCAATACCACTCTTGGGGATATACCCAAAAGACTGTGACACAGGTTACTCCAGAGGCACCTGCACACCCATGTTTATTGCGGCACTATTCACAATAGCCAAGTTATGGAAACAGCCAAGATGCCCCACCACTGACGAATGGATTAAGAAAATGTGGTATCTATACACAATGGAATTTTATGCAGCCATGAAGAAGAACGAAATGTTATCATTCGCTGGTAAATGGATGGAATTGGAGAACATCATTCTGAGTGAGGTTAGCCTGGCCCAAAAGACCAAAAATCGTATGTTCTCCCTCATATGTGGACATTAGATCAAGGGCAAACACAACAAGGGGATTGGACTTGAGCACATGATAAAAGCGAGAGCACACAAGGGAGGGTGAGGATAGGTAAGACACCTAAAAAACTAGCTAGCATTTGTTGCCCTTAACGCAGAGAAACTAAAGCAGATACCTTAAAAGCAACTGAGGCCAATAGGAAAAGGGGACAGGAACTAGAGAAAAGGTTAGATCAAAAAGAATTAACCTAGAAGGTAACACGCACAGGAAATCAATGTGAGTCAATGCCCTGTATAGCTATCCTTATCTCAACCAGCAAAAACCCTTGTTCCTTCCTGTTATTGCTTATACTCTCTCTACAACAAAATTAGAAATAAGGGCAAAATAGTTTCTGCTGGGTATTGAGGGGGTGGGGGGGAGAAGAAGGGGGCGGAGTGGGTGGTAAGGGAGGGGGTGGGGGCAGGGGGGAAAAATGAACCAAGCCTTGTATGCACATATAAATAATAAAAGAAAAAGGAAAAAAAAAGAAAGAAAATGTGGTATCTATACACAGTGTACACAGTGGAATTTTATGCAGCCATGAAGAAGAACGAAATGTTATCATTTGCTGGTAAATGGATGGAATTGGAGAACATCATTCTGAGTGAGGTTAGCCTGGCCCAAAAGACCAAAAATCGTATGTTCTCCCTCATATGTGGACATTAGATCAAGGGCAAACACAACAAGGGGATTGGACTTTGAGCACATGATAAAAGCAAGAGCACACAAGGGAGGTGTGAGGATAGGTAAGACACCTAAAAAACTAGCTAGCATTTGTTGCCCTTAACGCAGAGAAACTAAAGCAGATACCTTAAAAGCAACTGAGGCCAATAGGAGAAGGAGAACAGGAACTAGAGAAAAGGTTAGATCAAAAAGAATTAACCTAGAGGGTAACACACGTGCACAGGAAATTAATGTGAGTCAATTCTCTGTATAGCTATCCTTATCTCAACTAGCAAAAACCCTTGTTCCTTCCTATTATTGCTTATACTCTCTCTTCAACAAAATTAGAGATAAGGGCAAAATAGTTTTTGCCAGGTATTGAGGGGTTGAGGGGGGAGAGGGAGGGGGCGGAGTGGGTGGTAAGGGAGGGGGCAGGGGCAGGGGGGAGAAATGACCCAAGCATTGTATGCACATATGAATAATAAAACAATAAAAATTTAAAAAATAAATAAAAATAAAAGATAAAAAAAAGAAACTTTGGAAGAATATTAAAAACAGAGAGAGAGAGCATAATGAAACTCACTGCTGTTTGTGAAAGGGGAAAAGAGTGAGGCTAAGGGAGTATAATAAAGGGGTAAACTTGTTCAAGGTATAGTGTGCATATCTATGGAAGTATCACAATGAAACCCCCTTGTGTAATTAATATATGCTAACAATAAATAAATAAAAAACAAAACTAGGGGGCTGGGGATGTGACTGAAGTGACAGAGCACTGCCTAGCAAGCTCAAGGCCCTGAGTTCAAATTCTAGGACTACTAAAAAACAAAACAAACAAACAAACAAAAACAACTTCGGGGTTGTGTGTGGCTGGTGTCATAAGTCATCTCAGGTTCTGATAACATGTGGCTCTGCAACAATGTTAGGACCCTTAGGGCCTCACATTGATCCCTGTGTTTGTTTTTGTATGCTTGAAGCTCCACCAGGGGCTGAGTACCATGGAGGCAATGAACTGGGGCTCCTGTGTAACTATGTGGCCCCTTCCCTGCCTCTAACCTGCAGCAGCTGCTGTGCTCCTGAGCAACACTGCCCTAATAGAGCTTCTGGAGAAAATGCTGGTGCTCACATGGACAGAGGTGGGCTGTCCTGGGACCGCACTGCTCTGTTCTGCCTGGCTGCTCACTGCCTCCTTCTCTGCCCAGCAGCATGATGGCAGTTTGCAGGTAAGTGTCTAATTCAATGGTTTTGAACATGAGATGGCAGTCAAAGAAGTGATGAAAATCCTGAGTTCTGACACCAGCTCTGTGGCATTTTAGCTCTGTGACCTTGGCAAGGTATTTAACTACTCTGAATTTCACTTTCCTTACTTACAAAGTGAGGAAAACATCCCAAGATAGTTGTCAGGTTGGTTCTAAGTGATACTTTTAATACACATGGATTGCCTACATCTAGGCTAATTCCTAGCACAGAGGAAAAAAATGAATACAGCATTTGCCCTGCAAAGTCTTAAAGTAAGTAAGATTGTACCCAGCAAACATAGTGGGGAAAGCACTTCAGGTGAAGAGCACAGTATGAGCAAAGGCATGGAGCTGCACAAATTTAGGACGTGGGGTACATATTTGAAGAGTGGTGAGGTGTGACTAGAGCATGGGGGTGAATAGAATAGGTCAGACTGGACGGAGAGACAGGGGCCAGTAGATTTGGGACAGAATCCTTTCCTGCTTTTTTCTGTGAGGATGTTGGCCCCACTCATACCCAACCTGCACCTGGTCCTTGTCTCTGTTCTGGCTCTCAGCTTGCACTTAGTCAATTAACCTATTTCTTAACTATCTCCTCTGCCCTATCCCAGACCTGAGCATTGGTCCTCATTACTGATGTGTTTTTTTAAAACCACTTTGTGGCCTCTAGCCTCTTCCCTCTGCTGCATGTCCTGTCACAATCTGTCCTCACTTTTGTTCTCTGCAGCTTTTCTTCTCTGCACTTGGCCTGGCCTGTAGCCTTACCTCCTGCCCATCTCTACCCTTTTTCCCTATACTCTGTCCTTCTCCCACTTTGCTCTTCTCCCAGTCAGCTGTGGCTCTTTGACATCTTCATACTTTTTTTTTTTTTTGCTTTATTTATTTATTTACCTTTGGGTAAATTTGGGGTTTGAACTCAGAGTCTTGCACTTGCTAAGCAGGTGCTCTCCCACTTGAGCTACTCTTCCAGCCCCTTTCTGCTTTAGTTATTTTTCAGGTAGGATCTCATGTTTTTGTCCAGGAAGGGCCTCAGACCTCAATCCTACCTATACCTCCTACATAGCTGTGATCACAGGATTGCATACCACCACACCCAACTTACTGAGATGGTATCTTGGTAACTTGTTTCTCCCAGCTGGCCAGGAAATGTGATTCTTCCAATCTCTTTCTCCCAAATAGCTGGGATTACAAGTATGAGCTACTATATCCAGTCTCATTTATTTATTATTAATAGATTATTTTTAGGACAGTTTAAGATTTATAGAAAAATTGAGCAAGTAGTACAGAGTCCCCATATAGTGTCCACACTTTCCTCTACTATTAACGTCTTATATTAGCATTTTATATATCTATATACATATATATACATTTTTCATTTTCCAGGCTGGCTCTTTTTGCCACAACTTGCTGCTTCCATCAGCTAACAGGGTTTTTAAAGCAACTTTTTGGTGTCATATTGTAACAGAGCCAAGCAGAGTAATAGTTCCTGCCCTCAGGCAGCTTTTGTTCTGCTTGAGGAGAGTAGAGCAGACACAGCTTTGAACCTGCTACCTATGCTAGTCCCTCAGTTTAGACATTACTTGTTGTTAGCTGCATGTCCACTGGTGCTGATCCTCAAATGCTTCTCACAATAGCTCTGGAGAGAATGAAAACAGATGGCATTGTTTTCATTTCATAGATGAAGAATGTGAGGCAGGCTGAGAGAGGTAAGGTGACTTGCCTAAGGCCGTGCAGCTGGCAGGTGGCAGAGGCAGGGTTTTGATTTGGCATGGCTGACTAGGTCTTCTGAGATAGTTGAATGGTGAGTAGAGCCAGAGACTGAACCAAAGATGAGGCTGGGAAAGGCTATTTAGGAGGAGGTTGTTGAGGTCAAGGGATATTTAGGAGAAGTTAGTTCTTCAGGTACAAGCTCGATTTGCCTCCTCTTACTCCTGAATCCAGGAATGGTGAGGCTCAGAGGACTGTGTGGCCTCCTCTATCCCCTATTGATGCAGCAGGTATGTAGGGGGTAGTGGTAGAAGAGATATGGGGATAGACTATTTTCTGCCCAAGCTTCCAGAACATGGGGCTTAGCCTTTTACCCCTTTCCCTGTTAGGTTCATCAAACATTGTCCGTGGAACTGGACCAAGTATTGAAGGCTCTCAGCTTTCCTAAAAAAAAGTCTTCACTGCTGTCAGGTATGGGCCCTGGAGTTTCCAGCAAGAGAAGGAAAGTTTTTCCCTTAAATACTGAGAAAGAACCATCTATTCAGACCAGCCTGTGGTCACCCCATAATTATTTCGTCAGCATTTGTCCCCTCCTATGACAGAGCTGAGTGGGAGGTGGGGAGGGAGGCAGCAGCTGGATGTGATGAGTCTCTTGTTTCAGCTGCCATCTTATGCTTCCTGCGGACAACCCTGCAACAAAGCTTTTCCTCTACCCTCGTGGCCCTGGTGCCCTCAAGATTTGGGCCAATACCACCCCCTGAGGACACTGTCCTAGCTCCACTGGGAACATCGCAAGTACTGTCCCTGGTCATTGGGCTGCAGAATCTCCTGGTGCAGGTAAGGGCCTTGTTGAGTGGGCCTCTGGCAATAGAAACTGCTTCTCCCAGGAAAACAACAGAAAGGTAGCTGTGTATCAGGAGCCTGGTTTCCCTACCAAGGCCTGGAGGATAGTTGATTGACACTTTTAAAGTGGCAGTGACAGAAACAAAACTTAAGTTGGTTTCTACCTGAGAAGTCTAGGGGTTCCTACTGGCTTTAGGTACAAGTGGGTCCCAGAGGCTCAGACAACAACATCAGAACTCTATTTCTACCTCTTGGATCTGCATTTTGCACTGTCAGCTGTACCCTCACTGGATGGATGAGTACTGTAAGCCTCCGGGCTTATATTCTCTCAGTGGAAAGAGACTTTCTCTTTCCAAGTTCCCAGAATTGAGTCTTGTTAGCTTGGAGTGGATAATACACTGTGACTGAGGCATGGGATGCTCTGACCAGCCTGACCTGGGTCAGTGTCCTCTCATGAAGGCTGGGACATATGGTCAGCTCTCCACAACCCACATAGACTGAACCCAAGAACGGGATATTTCCCCAAAGGAATATTGTTTAAAGAAGGAATGGCTCCTGGGCAAGTAGAACAGATGTCCACCCCAGAGGGGTTTGCACTTTACAACTCAGAGGATTCTTGGAGATCATTGTTTATGCAGCCATCACATACTGAGCCTCCCAACTCAGTATCAGGAATGGGTCCTGTGCTAGGTTAGTGGCTGCTAAATCTTGTCCTGTGGCACATCTATGCATAAGGTTGTGAGCTCTTCAGGGATCACACATCTGCCATGTCATAACTCTCTGTTTTAAGCTTCCATTTTCACATCCTTTTTTTTCATTGTTGTTGCCTGTTTCTGTTTTTGTGATTCTGGGGATCAAACCTGGGGTCTCACTCATGCCAGGCAAGTGCTGTACCACTGAACTACATCCTGAGGTTCTTACCATCTCAGTTTTATAGACAGGACAGCAGTCAAGAGATGTTAAAGAATGTACCCATGGCCACATACCTTTAGGTCAGGATTCAAACCTAAGTCTTTTTGGCCAAAAATTCATGTTCTTTCCGCATACCAAATAGTACACCTTGTAAACAAGAACTATTGTTTCCTGAGATAGTCCCTGGTTTTTTTTCGTGTGTGTGTGGTATGGGGGTTGAATTCAGGGTCTCATGCTTGCTAGACAGGTACTCTACCACTTGAAACATTTTGTCAGCCTTGTTTTATGTTGGGTATTTTTGACTTAGGGTCTTGAGAACTATTTTCCTGGGCTGGCTTCAAACCACAATCCTCCTAATCTTTGCCTCCTAAGTAGCTAGGATTATAGGTGTAGCCACCAGTGCCTGGTGTCCCTGGTTTTCCTAATGCACAGAGCCCTGGCTTCTCACCCGCCATTGAGGGTCCCTTACTAGTTATAAGGACATGGGTGAGAAAGTAGCAATAGAACCACAGCTCTGTACCCTGTGGGAAAGCTGTGGCATGCTGGCCCATGGGTATGTGGGAAGCAGCTGGAAGTACCCACTTGTTAAGAGTTCATTTTAAATCAGAGAAGAGTACTGCATCAGAAATCAGAAGACCCCAGGTGTCCTCAGGCCAAGTATTTTCTCTCTAGGCCTTGGTTTACTTGGTTATAAAATGAAATGGGTAGATTAGCTCAATCATTTCACACCTTTTGCCTTGGAGGCCTTTGGAGTTCTTTGGAGGAGATTCATGGGTTGTGTAAAGAAAGGAGAGTGTTTCTTTCTTTAGGCATTTCAAGGGTACTCACCATTTATTGTGTGTTTACTTTGTGCCAGACACTGTTAAACACTATGTTAATTTTCTCATCTAACCTTCTCAGTAACACACTCATCAAGGTTAAGTAAGATGCATAGGGTAACACAATACAAGACCAAGTAAGGATTCATCCAGACTCAGGTCTGTCCCATACTCCTAACCACCAGACTGCACTGCCTTCCAAAGAATAGCATGAGGACACCATAAGATTTTTATTTATTTTTACCTCTACTGAGCAATAAGTTACATATAATAAAATTCACCAATTTTAACTGTACAACTGGATGAATTCTGACAAATACATGGTTTTGCAAGCACTTAGCACAATCATGATATAGAACATTTCCTTCACCCCAGAATGCTCTCGGGGTTAAAAAAAAACAAAAGAATGTTCTCTCATTCTCCTTTGCTGTCATTCCCCTACCCCTTCTCCTCCCCACTCCTTCCCTTCTCCTCCCCAAATAACTCTGAAAACCAATTTTTTTTCCTAATTAACAGTAAAACCATTTGTAGCTCACCTGACCCTAATTTCTATTTTTGTATTTGTTTGTTTTGCAGAAGGACACTCTATTGTCCCAGGCCTGTGTTGGCTGCCTGGAGGCCTTGCTTGATTACCTATATGCACGGAGTCCAGACATCGGTAGAAATCTTTCTCACTCTCTGACATTCCCATGGGGAAGATTGGAGGGACCCCCCATCACCTTATTGCCCCAGGCTTTCATCCCTGTTGTGTGATTCACAATCATCTTATTTAATTGTTTTAACAACATTGCAAGGGCACTGTCATGCCCATTATGCAGATGAGGACAATGAGGTTCCAAGAGGTCAAGTGACCTATCCATCCCTGGTTACAATCAGTGCTTTTAGGGGGCAGAGTCATTCCTCTTACCTGTCTCCCACAATCATGGGATTTATTGTGTCATTGAGCTAGTCAGCATAGGTGGATGAAGCCCATGGAAAAGAGAAACTTACTGGGGTCAGTCTGTCCGATATCTTGCCTGCACTGAGCAACTCCTTTTTGAGCCAGTAGGAGATGCTCTTCTGTGGCCATGTTTCCAGGCCTTTGGAAAAGCAGCATTAACTGCCTGGGGGAACTGGTGTTTCCTGCAGCACTCCATGTGGCCTCCCAGCCCTGGAATCGGTTTTTGCTGTTCACGCTCTTGGATGCTGGAGAGAATTCCTTCCTCAGACCTGAGATATTGAGGCTTATGACCTTGGTAAGTGCACAAAACATAGTCCTATGGTCTAAAAATGTCATGAGCTGGGTAGTGCTGAAAAGGCCCAGGAAACCATACTTTAGGTAACCCTAATCCTGAAAGAAGGTAGAGGGCTAGGTGGCCTTTACCTATAAGAGAACAGATTGGAGAATTCTTGTGAATGCCCACATCCTACCCCAGGTGACCCATACACATTTTTTATTGTTCTCATAAAATGTTGAACAGGGCCTGCCAACACATGCCAGGTCTGCTAGGTACTGAAAATGCTGATGAGTCAAATGCCCTGCCTCTAAGAGTCCCTCAATCTAGAGAAGATTGACAAGTGTATGAATAGTTACATATGATGTTTTGAGTGGTAGAATAGAGGAGATTCTAAGTGTTTAGCACTTAGTCAGATGCCCACTGACTAAAGAACAAAGCAGGAGCCTATGAATGATGGCAAAGCTCATCCATAGGTATCAGTGGTTGGTTGGAAATAGAGAATAACTGCTTCTGTGCTGTGATGTTTTAGTTGAGGCTCGAAGGACTAATAGGCAGAGAAGAGGAAGGTATTTTTGGTAGTGTAGTGAGAACAGTAGCTATAAGAGCATGTGGTAGTAGGTTATTGGAACCACACACACAGCTCATTTTGGCCATGAGTGTGCAGTGCAAGGCTACAGGAGGAAGGAACCAAGGCTACAGGGGTCAGTAGGGCCAGCTCTCTCAGGATCTTAGTCTGCCTCATTTACCCTATTCTCCCATGACAGTCTCGCTGATACCCATCAATGCAGAGCCCCTTGAAGGCAGGGCTCTGCGGACTTTAGAACACTATTCTCATTCCAAGGCTGAGCACAGCAGGTTACAGGAAATGGCATCCTCTCCAATCACTGGGTGTTTGGGACTTCTCTTTCTGGGCTAGTTTGTGCGGTACCAGAGCACCAATGTTCTCTCCCAAGAAGAGGTGGATCATATTCTTCAAGGTGCAGTTTTGGCTGACCTGTCTACCCTCTCAAATACCACACTCCGGGCTCTGCGTGGCTTCTTCCTGCAGGTGCGTGGAAAAAGATTGCCATGAAGCTCATACAAGCTAGACCCTCAAGACCATTTTCTCTGAAGAGGGTGGGAGCTCTGGCCACAGTAGCTATTGGGAAGTCAGGAGGGCAGCAGGTGGGGGGCAGTTAGAGAGGGCCTGCCTTTGCTGACCTCTTCTCCTCTCAGGTCCAGAGCATAGGTCTCCTGACAGACCACAACACGGCCCAGACTCTGCAGGCCTCCCTGCAGAGCCTTTCTCCCAGTGCCTTCTCTGCCCACCTACCCGTTCAGGACATGCTGTATCCTTTCCTGAATCTGAGAGCTTTGGCCTAGGCAAGGTCACCCAGGCCATGGATGCTACAGCATCAAGCTTCCCTCAGCCCCAGTGGGGAGGGCTTGCAACTAGCAAGCCCTTTAGAAAGCCTGGGGCTGAGGCCAGTTGTGGTGATGCATGCCTTACCTTAGCATTCAGAAAGTTGAGGGAGGGCTATGAGTTCAAAGCCAGTCTGGGCTACATATCAAGACCCTATCAAAAAAGAAAAAAAGCTGTGGTTCAACCCTGTAATTCCAGCTACCCTGGAGGTGAAGATTGAGAAGATTGCAGTTGGAGGCTGTTAGGAAAAACGCTGCTCACAAAGAAAGCTCACGAGAAAAGTCTCACGTCCATAGAGCAAAGTTTAATGGCAGGCCCAAATTGCCAGGCTGGCTGGGCGGTGGGGAAAGATGGCGCAGCAGCGATTCTGGGCCAGGCGTGGCTTTTATAGAATGAGGAGGTTAAGGAAGTTAGCGCATGCGTGGTAGTCTCTGGTAGGGGTGGGGCTGGTCATTTAAGACACATAAGCAAATATATAAATGAACTCTGATTTAGTAGTACTTAAAGCTTAACAAGACCGACAGAAAACACAAGTCCTATAACAGTGTTTTTGTAAATGTTACTCAGAGCAGAATAATATTAAGATAGCCTTATTATTTTATGGACATAGAGAATTAGATTTTAGGTTGACATGATCCTTAAAATCTTTTTGGCAACTCTTAGATTATAGTCAACTTTATCACACACCAAAGCTTTTTATTGTACACTTTTAAAACTTACTTAGACCTTTATATAACATACTAAACCCTTTGATGGCCTGTCCTAATCCATCCTATTTTAAACAATCTTTAGGACAAACCCTTCTTTACAAAATCCTTTCTCAACCAAAAAACCATTCCTTTTTCTTTTAACTTCTCAAAAAATACATTCATTAACTATCTGTATCCTTTCCAGTTGTTTACTTTGTAACTTGTATTTTAAAATTAAGAATTAAGAATTTTAGATTTATTATAGGGGCTGAAGCAACTAATTAATAGCTCTTGTTGTTTTAAGGAGTTTATGATAGGCATAAGACCTCATCATCCCTCAGGCTTGAGGGGATATTGTTTTGGGTATGGAAACTATGAGGGATTTTTGAGTTTTAATTGAATAGGGAGAGCCAGCCTGGCTTGCCCTACACTCATTTCATCAGTCCACGCTGTGGAATCTATTTGTTCCTAAAGGAGCGGGCAGCAGAGATAGCTGCCTGGGGGAGGAAAATTTGAGCTTTTAGTTGAGATAGTAAATCCCATCCCAGCAGAGTCACTGGAGTTTTAGAAACTATGAGGAAAGAGTGACAGAAGAGGAGGTCTCCCCAAGAGCAGGCCAGAGGCCAGGTAAATTAGTGCTCTAGAGGCTGGCCAGATTTGCCCTGAACGATAACCTTGTCATTGGACCAGGGTCCAGGGAAGAAAGGCAAGACAGAGAAACGAGCTCCACTGTCTAGCTGGAAAATGGTCTGTTGTTTTTCTGCCATAATGGCCACCATGAGGCTCCTCAACATCGATGCCAAGAAGTGGAGTGGGGACAGGGGGCCAGGACCCATCAATCCGTAGGAGTGGCATCTTGCCTTCCATCTGGAGGCAGGGGCACTTAGACCTCCAGTGGTTACCTTTGCAGAGAGGGCAGGGTCCTGGTTGGGGGCAGGGCTGTCCCCCATTTTGAGCATCCTCTGCAGAAATGCCCCTCCTGTCCACCATGGTAGCAAACTCGAAATGTAGGCCACAGTCAGGTGGGGGCAGCAATGAGGTCATGTCTCTTAGTATACAGACATGGCTAGTTGTATCAGTTGATCCAATGACTTTTCTCCTTAAGCCACAGACTGAGTTTGCTACAAATATCTGGGGATGACTGTGTTAGAAATTTATCTTTGAGGAGAACCTCTCTCATCTGTGACTTTGGGTCCACTGTGGTATGCTTTCTGATAGCGTCCTTAAGATGCTGCAGAAAGGTAAGGGGATTTTCGTCAGTAAGTTGCTGTAAAGCAAAGTTGTTATTTCACATTGACACCTGATATTCTGGAGAGCAGGTCTCTGAACCATTCTGGGCCTCAGTTTCCCCACTTGAAGAATGAGGGATCTGGTCTAGGTTAAATTACTTTTTTCCACTATGAGATGGCTGAAGTGACATTAATGCCACTTACCTTCCTTACCATTTTTTTGTTTTGTTTTGATTTAACAATGCTGGGGAATTGAACCCAGGGCTTTGCACATGCTGGGCAGACATTCTCCCACTGAGCTACTTCCTCAGCCCCAAATATCTTTTTTGTCTTTGGCTGTACTGGATTTGAACTCGGGGCTTTATGCCTGCAAAGTGGCACTCTACTGCTTGAGCCATATCATCAGCCCCTTTTGGTGTGGATCTGTCAAGGGGACTGCCTGTGCCCCTATAGTTAGGCACATTTATTCCCTCATTTCCAGGTGCCACTAGTATTGGGGCTGATTGTAAATGGTAATCATTTCCAACCTGAGTGGCCTGGGCCAGAACCCAATGCTTTTCTAATGAGAAAAAGAGTCTGGTCTAGTAGAAGCATAATATCCTTTCATGTCAATTGAAAGGTTTGGATCACAGAGATAAAGGCTTGAATGTATTGGTCTGGGGCATCAGTATAGCTGTCCAGATGTTTTTAAATTTCCCTTAGATCTGATAACTGGAAGGGGACATAAGACTTGCTCTCTTCCTACCATTACTTGTTGAAGGGGGAAGCACCCATTAGGATGTTTTGAATATTGGGGTGGCTTAGAAGGTAGGACAGAGGGTGGAGTGGTAGGTGTGGGCCTTGTCATTGATAAGGGGCTTTTGTGGTCCTCTTTTCCATGTTTATCCTGTGGCTTACAAAGAATGGCCAGTGTTTTGAGTATCTAAATAGTAATTGTGGACCCAATCTGAGATGAAAGAAAATTTGTATAGGGGACCTCAGTTTACTTTTTTTCCTTTTATAGAAAAGGTCTAATTGGAGTATGTATTGTAATTTAAGGAACCCTGTGAAGGCCACTTCTCTTGGTCACTGAAGGCATACTGAGGCCAGGCCTCAGTACAAAGCTTTCAACATCTATAAGCCAGAAGACTGGAAGATGCAGATCCCATCTAGAAAGAACAAAACATTAGGATCCTGTCTTTTAGCTAACAGCAGGCAGCCTCTTTAATAAAGGCTACTTTTTTAACAAAGGAATAAATCTGTAAAGTTAGAGAAGGGCATTTAGAGGGCATCCTGGGCCAATAACAGTACCATATGGAACAACTAGTGTTAATATTTGGAGGGAAAAATTTATGTTGAGGCCAAAGGTATAGAAAATTTTAAATGAGAAGTTTATTACACTAATGTCCATTTTGTTATTTTTGGGACTATAACCTTGAGCTAACAATTGGCTTACAAGGGCTGGGTCTGGTGCCCCAAGGTATGAGGTGGGGCTAGGAGCAGGGCTTGTGCAAGGTGCTACTCCCTCCACACACACCTGGGACAAGCAAGCCTGACTGTCTAGGCCTGATCCTGTGGCTTGTTGCCCCTCTCCCCTTCCTGTGTACTCTGCACGCATTTTATTCTAGGGGAAGTGGCGGCGGGCTGCAGCTGCCACCATGTGCAGCTGGCGGCCTAGGGTGTGTGTTGGGTTGGCCTATGGATTCTCTTAGCTATGGCAGGCATTTCTGCTGTGCATGAGCGTGCCTATTTGCTTTCCCTCCTCCCCTTGTGGGGGCGGAGTTAGGGTGTTAGCGTGGCAGCTGTAGTTTTTTTTGTGTTTTTGCCTCGCAGCTGATTTACAGTTACTTTAGACTGAGAGGCCTGGCAAACTAGTTGGAATAACTTAAGTCATAAGGTACCATGCTACAAGTTTTTCATGGGAGGCAGGGTCCCAGTAAGCCCAGGGAGGGGAAGGCAGACAGAGACAAACGACACGTGGTGAGACCATGGAGGAAGCAGAAAAGGTGAGCTGACATCTTAGGTAAGGGAGGGGAAGGCAGAGCCTATAGGCATGACACATGCCTGAGGGATTAGCCATCATCTGTGCCTCTAGGTCGCTCCCATTGACTGGTACTGGAACACTTTCAGCAAAACGAAACCTCCACTCTCTGGTCACTGTCTCAGGAAAAAGGGGCATTAGACAGGAGGGGAAAGAGAAGCAGTCGTCAGATGCGATAATCAAACAGGACTCTGCTAATGTAGCATGAGGCGTACCCGAATAAACCCCAGGCTTGGTCTCAACCCACAGGGAGGGAGCATGAATTCTCCCAGAGCTGGAATTGCCTTGAGGCCAGAGTTGGCAAGGAGTGGCTTGTTTGACACCATGACAGGAAAGATCCTCAGGAAGATAGGAAGAGACAAGCAGTGTGAGCAGCGCAAGAAGTCTGCTTACATGGGGAAGGAGGAGGTTTGGGAGAGGATTTGGTTTGTTTAGAAGCTGGTTTAGAGGCTAATAGAACCTGCACAGGGGAACAGGAAGTACAGAGGGAGGTTTGGCGTGGAAAGAGGAAAAGGATTAGGTGTAGGGAAGTTCCTTCCATTTACCAGCACGCTCACAGAAATTGTATAAATCCCTTAAAATATTGGGATTGAAAGTGCCATTAAGTGGCCATTTGGAGACATTGTCTAATGGATATTGGGGCCAGGCCTGATTACAGAGAAAAATGAGCTTTCGTGGCTTAAGATCAGGCGTTAGGCAGAGGGGCCCAAGATTGGCCAGAAGACATCCCAATGGGGAGTCTGAAGGAATTTTGGATGGTCCAACTCTCATGGTGAGGCCTGACCTGAGGAGAGATATGGCAGGCATCCCTGAAATATCAGGTCCTCAGGAGAGAGAGAGAGAGATGTGGAATACCCAGAGGGAATGTCTTCACCATGGGGGGCCCACAGTCCCTAGTGGGGAACCCGGTTTCCAGGGATGAGAGCAAGCCAAGACCTAGTGCTAGGATTTCGAGGAAGTGAGAGAGATCACAGCTCTGCATGTGAGGAGGACTCACTGAGAGAGGACCTTGAGGGAAGATTGATTGACCGGTGGTGGATGTCAATTGGAGGTGTGCTGGGGCGGAGGAATTTCCCAGTGAGCTAGTGAGGGAGTGGCGTTTTTTAGTATCAGGGGTTCTGGCAAAGCAGCTCAGACCCCGGAGGAAGGGAATGGGAGTTGAGAGAGGGAGGGAGAGAGAGAGAGAGAGTGTGCGCGTACATGCGCGCACACACAGAATGGGGTGGTGGGGGAGGCCAGGAGAGCAAGGTCAGTGCTGGAGTGCATCCTGATCTGAGTCATGTCACCAAATGTTAGGAAAAACACCACTCACAAAGAAAGCTCACGAGAAAAGTCTCACGTCCATAGACTAAAGTTTAATGGCAGGTCCAAACTACCAGACTGGCCGGGTAAAAAGATGGTGCAACAGCGATTCTGGGCCAGGTGTGGCTTTTATAGAAGGGGGAGGTTGAGGAAGTTAGCACATGCATGGTAGTCTCTGGTAGGGGTGGGGCTGTCTTAGAGCATGGGAATTTCTGTTAAGGGCAGGGCTGTCTTGGAAGTTTCTCAAGTGTGGTCTGAGGATAAAATGGCCACCAATTTATAAATGGCGACATTATTGTTCTGTCAGAGGCCAGCCTGGGCAAAAGGTTGGTGGGACCAATTTCAGCCAATAAGCTGGTGGCGTATGGCTGTGATTCCAGCTAAGCGGAGGCCATAGGTAGGAGGATTGTGGCCTAAAGCCATTTCTGGGCAAAAACAACATGAGACCCTACCTGAAAAATAAGCAAAAAAGGGTTGGGGGCATGGCTCAAGTGATAGAGCACCTGCCTAGCAAGCATGAGGCTGAGTTCAAACCCCAGTGCCATTATAAAAAAAAAAAAAAACAGCCTGGGACTGTGGCAGTGACCAGAGTCCCCTTAGAGTTGTGATACTCCAGAGACACTACTGGGGTTGGAGGGGGGTTGGAGGGTGGTTGTTTGCCACCCCTGCTGGCTATCTCCCTGGCTCTCCTTTCCCTCTCCATGTGAGTTCCCTGTTGTATAGCAACTACTTAGCACAGGTATTCAGGTCTCAATTTTGGGGGAGCATCTGCTCGTCTGACTATTCTTGTTCTTTTGGGGCCCTGGAAGTGATTCTTATGGGTGGCTTCATCTCTTGTCTGGTTTTCCTCTCATGTTTCCTACCAGCTGCCTAGGAGGCGTGGCTGTATCCCTGTCGCACATCACAGATTGAGCTTTAGGACTTAACTTGAAAGAGAAATGAGGCTACAAACAATGTCAGGGGCATAACTGTTGGGGAAAAGGATGATGATCACAGCAATTCATCTGGAGCCATTTACTCCATTGTGAAAATGGAATCAGGAAATAAAATGATACACTCACATACTTGTGTGGACTTTCACTATGAATTCATCTTGTCTCCCTAGAACTGGTTTCTCAGCCAGTTAATGGATTGTTTCATCAAGGAATGAATTGCTTCAGGGAAAAAGGGAAAATTTGGCTATAGCATCATCACCTAAGGAGTGCCTGCTGGATGCCTCAGTTATTCCCAGAGAACCCGAGTCAGGTTGTTGGGTCTAGAGACCTAAGGCAGATGAGTGAGTATCCCATCCCCCATGGAGGGCAATATCATTCCTACATCCTGAGGAGATGCAGGCCTGCATTCCTGCATCCTAAAGGAGAGATACAGATCTGCCACAGGGCTGATGAGCAAAATGCTCTCAAGATTGTTCCCTTCCCCCAAGAAAGGTGCTAACCAAACCAGTTCACCTGAGAAAGCCTGCGAATCCATGGCCAATGAGAAAAGCCCACCTAACCCAATTAGAATGTCCATAAAAACCCCAGCCTTCAACTGAGCAGCGAGCCACCGGCTTCTGGGCTCCGCTGCAGTACCTTAGCTGTAGCCTTTCCTTTCTCTCTAATAGATCCTACTTTATATACTGGCTTTGGCTCACAAGTCAATCAGCTGCCTCACGAGCCAGTTCTCTGGCCTGTGAAGGCAAGGACCCTCAACACTGGCAGGTAACAAGGTCATAGCCATCCTTGGTGCTAGGAGGGTGTTGGAGCTGCTGTGATGCTAGTGATGTGAGAGGTACTTCACCTAAAGTGGAGATGTGGAGACCCTGGCAAGCAAGGTCAAATCTTTCTCAGCTTTTTTGAGGAAAAGTGCCCCATCCTCAGCCTTCTCTGGCCAAAGCGGGTCTCCTCTGTTCCTTTCCCTTACACTTTGTTATTATATATCCACATGAGCAGTTATTTAATGACTGCCTCCTCTGGGCCCCTGGCATACAGTCTGAGCTTCTTAACTGCCTGAGCCTGTTCGGAGCACAGCCCACCCTGAGCTCTAACTCCTGTCCCGCTAGCAAGGGCCTCTGTGTTCATAACTGGCCACATCACCTGTCCTACTCAGACTTAGGAGTCCTGACCATCGCAAAACAGATTAAATCAACGAACCGAAAACTTGGTTTAGAAATTGGTAGACTGGAGGGGAGAGCAAGGGATGCCCGCACTTTGCACTGCATGTTCTGTGCAAAGTTCCTTGAAAAAAAAAAACAGGTTTTTTTTTTACAACCCACTAAACTGATCTTGCGAACTGCAGTTTAAAAAACATGGTCACGGATGACAAAACAGTCTCAGGGAGCACGACTGGAAGGTGGACTGGTCAGCAGTGGTTACGGCTACTTTTTGCGCTTTAAGTAGGGCACAAATTCCACCTGCAGCTTCACTTCCTCCAGCCGACCTTGAGTGAAGCACCCTGTCTTGGAGAACCCGTCCCTGCCGCCGTGCAGAGTAGGCGGGACGTAGCTCCGGCTGTACAGATCCTGAATCAGCCCTAGCGTCCCGCGGGGCGGTGGAGGTGGGACCGGAAGTGAGGTCAGCGGAGCACGGTGGTCGCGGCCCGTTTTCATTGGTCGAAAGAGAAATAGTGGGCGGGACCTCACTCCGCGGTCTATACGCGCGGCTAGCCAGGTGCTCGGGCGTACAGCGCCTTTGCTGTAGCCTAGTAGATCTCGAGCCCAGCTGCACTTCGAGGTGCTTTCCGCCCGCTCCTTCCCGTACCCTAGCACTGGTAGGTGGTGGCGGATGTGGGGCGCCGGGCTGCAGGCTCTGGGGAGGGAAGTACAGGGACCGAGAGCCCCGCACTTTCCTGCTTAAATCATTGTCGGATGTTTGATACCCTCCATGTTTTCCCAAGTTTTGCTGTAGCTTCTGTCTGGTTCCTTGGGTTTGAAGTATGAATATGGAAGGTAGAGGGTCCTGCCTGGGTGAACTCGGATTCCTTCTCTAGGTTTCAGTTGTCTCATCTAAGTGGGGGCAGGGATTCTGTTGACCTCCGCAGCTTCTCTCTATTTCTAACTGAGCATCTCTCTTTTGGAGTGGATGTCCTGGTACATCAGTAATCAGCCGTGATCTAGGATGAGAAAGAGACAGGAAACCTGGCATGGTGATGCACACCTCTAATCCCGGCACTTGGCACGCTAAAGGCGGGGGACTCAAGTTTGAAGCCAGACTGAGCTATATAGCAAGAACCTGTCTAAAAAAAAAAAAGAAGAAGAAAGAAAGAAAAAGAAAAAAGAATGAAAGTAAAAGAGAATGATAGAAAAAAAGAAAGGTGGGAGGGAGGGAGGAAGGAAGGAAGAAAGGGCATTGGACTGAGGGTCAAAAGACTTGGTTTAGTCTTGGAATAGTGTGTGACTTTGGGGGGAGGGGTCACCTCAGTTTTCTGTGCCTTAGTTATCCATAGTGGTAAAGTGGGGTACCTGTCATCTGAGTGTGAGCCTCCTTTGGTCACTTATTTATTGTTGCATCTGAATCGACTTCCTCTCATTGTTTCTGTGCTTGTTTTTACAAGTTTGTTGATTCTACCTCTACTAGGGTCATAGTTACTATGAGTACAGGTATTTTTGCTTCTCATATTTATTGCTGTATTTTCAGCTCTAGAACTGTGCCTGGAACATGGTAAATACTCATTTATTGTGGAATGTTGCCTGAATAGGAGCAGGTGATGCTGTGGTTCCAAAGTGAGTGAGTAGCAGCCCTTCCCAAGACTGTCTTGTTTTCCTTCCCATCCTGTACCCTTTCTTCTTTTCCGATGACAAGTCAGTAAAGGAGGGACACCACAGAAGTTTTATATACTTTCTCACTGCTTGGGCCTCCTTGACCTGATGTTCTCCCAGAAAGCTAGGATAGGGGACTGAAAGAAAATGCTATTGATCAGCCCTTTTCTCCAGGCACAGTGTCTCACCCAGACCTCCCTCCCTCCTGCAGCAGGAAGGTGACCTCCTTAACCTGGTTGACAGGCGAGGAAGCTGAGGATTAGAGAGGTTGACCATTTTGCCCAGTAGCACAGGCAGGGGGAGAGCCTTAGTCTCCCACCAGTGCTCTAAGCATTGATAACATTTATTTTCCTTCCTTCCTTCTACCATCCCACCTATTTTTATTGTATGCCTGCTAGTCACAGGCCCTGGACTGGATCTTCAGGGTTTAAAAAGCTATGTTCTTGGTATTTGGAGGCGTTATCATGTCAGGGGAAGTTGCTGTGCACTGCCTCTGTTTTATGCCAGCCTCTGAGTCTCACTCCCTTTCTTTGGCTTACTCCTCTAGCTCCAGGGTCTCAGTTATGGACCCTCTTCAGTTCCTGGTCTTCCTTTTTGTCCTGCTACTGTCTGGAACAGAGGCCACCTTGAGGACCTCCCTAGACCCAAGCCTCAAGATTTGTATCTTTTTGGGCTGGGGTGGGGGTTAATGAACTGTCTTTGAGGGATTAATAAATGATGTCTCTCTATATTTGTGGGTACCCATTGGAGGGAGTTCCAGACTTAGCTGGTAGAAACAGGGGAGAAAAGGAAAGGAGCTCTAGTCAGACCTTGAGCAAATCATTTAGACATTGTTTCCCCATATGTTAAATGGAGAAGCCCAAACACTCTGATCTATAAAGCCACAATGAGGGCTGTATTTGTGTCTAGCACCTTGTCACCAGAACTCCCAGCAGAGAACTTTGGATTACTAATTCATTTTGACCCTGATATATCGGGCCACCTTCTCTGGGCAAGGTCTTGAGAACACAAAGATGAGTGAGAACCAGTCCCTGGTTTTAAAGCATCCACAGGCCTAGGGAAGAAAACTTCCAAATATGCTCAGTGCTCTGATGGATGCGAGAGGATGCAGGAGGGAGAAACACTGAGAACTGTGTCTTGAGAGAACAGAAACTCCTGAAGAAGGGTGGGAGAATCCTATGCAGATGGTATAGTGTGAGCAGATCAGTGGAGGTTCTGGAATAGTGAAGATTGTGAGAAACAACAGGAAGACCACAGGGAAAGGAAGGCAGGAGCCAGGTCTTGTAGGGTTGGGTTCAGGTTACTGGGTACAGTATCCCGAGAACTAGACGAACGATTCATTCCAGGACTTACACACTTCTTAGAAGATTTGTCCCTTCCCAAAGGAGGTGCCAGCCATAGGTGCCCATGGTTCTTACAAATACATTTTGGTCAGGAATGGGCCCTCTGGGGCAAGATCACTAGATTATCTAGACAGGGCAATTGGTACCATTCCCTTAATGCTGCCCAGACAAGAAGATGTTTGAGGTAAAGCGGCGAGAGCAGCTGTTGGCACTGAAGAACCTGGTACAGCTGAATGACATCCACCAGCAGTACAAGATCCTTGATGTCATGCTCAAGGGCCTCTTTAAGGTATATGTGGGCAGGGGGCAGCTCATAGCAGGCACCGATGGATGAGTAGGAGTTCCCTAAGGGGCTGGTGTTCAATGAGGGAGGTTGCTGTATGCACACAGGAATCAAAGTGGAATTCAAGGAAATGTTGCTGGGTCCAGGTTTTAAAGGGCTCTACAAGGACACTCAGCCTGGATGGGGTCCCCTTAGGTGCTGGAGGACTCCCGGACAGTGCTCATTGCTGCTGATGTGCTCCCAGATGGGCCCTTCCCCCAGGATGAGAAGCTGAAGGATGGTATGGTCTCCCCAATCTTTCTCTTTTCTCCCTACCACCCTGGTTTTCTCTAGCTTCTCCTTCCCTCCTGTTCTCGTCACTCTTCTTTTCTTGTACCCTCTGTGGCAACTTCTAAGTGGTCCCCTTGGGTGTCCAAAGGATATAATGCCCCTAGCACATACTGCACACCTGGTGAGAAGCCTGTGGTATGATTCCCTTCTCTAATTGGGAATACCCCATTCGCTGGAGGAGGCCTGGGGCCAATCTGGCTGGCAGGAGCAGGACAACTACCCTGACCATTCACCAAGGTTTTCTTGCCAGCTTTCTCCCATGTGGTGGAAAACACAGCCTTCTTCGGAGATGTAGTTCTGCGCTTCCCAAAGATTGTGCACCACTATTTTGACCACAACTCCAACTGGAACCTCCTCATTCGCTGGGGCATCAGTTTCTGCAATCAGACAGGTGTCTTTGACCAGGGGCCACACTCACCCATCCTCAGCCTGGTAAGGACTGGGGTGGAGGAGGTCTGGAAACCTTTGTCTGAAAGTGGGCTGGGAGCCTTGTATCTGACTGCATTTGGAGCTCTGTCAGTGCTTAGTTATGTTTTTTTTGTTGTCAAAATGATACTGGGTCTCATATGATAGCACAGGCTGGCCTCAAACTCAACGATTCTCCTTCAGCTTCCCAAGTGCTAGGATTACAGCAGATATGCGCCGACAAACCCAGGACTTGGTTACATTTTCTGTGATAAGCTTCAGGACACCTTAGGCCATGAAGGCTTCATTTCAGGTGTTCTGTGCTGACCTGGGTCCCTAGAGGATCTATAGACCTTGGGCCATATCTTCCCAAGCCTGAGTCCCAGCATAGAGGGAGTTGCTTTTTGGCAAGCGGAAGACAGAGGATGACTAACTTTTTCTCATCTGCAGATGGCCCAGGAGCTGGGAATCAGCGAGAAAGACTCTGACTTCCAGAACCCATTTAAAACAGACAACACAGAGGTAAGCTTCTGGGGCCTGTGACTGTGTCTGCTTTGTCTCTGCTGGACTTGGAATGCCAGGCCAGCAGATGTTGGGAACTAGGGGAACATGAGGACTTTGGACTTGAAACCAGACATTCCTGGGCCTGGGTCCAGAAACTGTCACTCACTCACTGGAGCCTTTGGTTAAGTCAAGACACTGTTCTTCTTCCCCTTGGAAAGACTTTCTGTGACCCATTCTCTTTCATCTTGCACTTTGAGTCACCAGTGTATTGTTTGGCTGAGCCCTTATGGCAGTGTCACTGCAGAGTTTTAGCCTCAGTTGCTCTACTTGGTATAATTCAAGGCTGTGCAAGCCTCAGGAGGAAAGATAAATTTGTGTCTGTCAGATTGAAATGAGATTGTGACATCCTGTGTGTCAGCACAGGGTCACTTTCAGGAGCTATCTTTGATAGTATCAGACACAGCAGAATAGTTCAGTACTGACCAGACATGTGAGTTTTCCTATCAGTGTATGGGACTGACACACCCAGCCAGATGGCCAGACTGCCAGCAGCAGCTGCCATTGAGCTCAGGCAGACCTAGGATTGTTTTACCAGGTGGCCATGCGGGAACTAAAGGACAAAGAGGGCAATAATTTTTCCCTACACCTTTTGGAGTCTAAAGCATTTCCTTCCCAGGTGCTGGGATTATTGCTGTAAAATCCACATATCTTATCCCAGTATCTGTTATTTCACTTTTTCTCCAGTCATCCTTTCCTCTCACTTACACCTTTCTTTCAAAAGGGTCAGGTGTGAATGGGAAAAGGATATTTTTTACAAGTTTTTAAAGACCCATTAGCTGAGTATGGTGGTACGTGCCTGTAGTCCCAGCTACTTGGGAGGCTGAAGTGGGAGGATCACTTGAGCCCAGGGGTTTGAAACCAAATTTGGTAATGTAGCGAGACTGTCTCAAAACAAACAAAAAAAGAGACCCATTACATCACCCATCTTTGCTTGTGTTGACTACTTCAGGAAGATTGAGCAAGGAGTATAGTCAACCAAATAGTCATAATCTAGTGATTTTAGGCATGCCATGCCAACCTGAGACTCAGCTAGTTGAACTAGAAATAGAATTTTCCACTTTGTGCCTATCCATGGTAGTGGGTATGTTGTCATGTCAAATAAAGTGATGCATTTAGGTGGCAATGGCTGACTGGGTGGTGAAATTTTGATCACAGACTGACTGTGATTCCAGTCAGTCTCATCAGAGACTGGGTCTTCCTATGGGCATCCAAACAGGGGACCCAGACTGTCCAGTTTGTAACCACAAGGCATTTCTATAGGCATTTGTGGCCCCAAAGAGGAGTGGGTATCTTTGATTTGCCAGTTTGTCCTGGTTTTTGGGTTTGCTTTGTTTTGTTTTTGTGGTATTGGAGGTCAAACCCAGGGCCTCTTGCATGCTAGTAGTCTACCATTGAACTATACATCCAGTCCTTTTTTTTTTTTTTTAATTAGGGTCTTACTAAATTGTCCAGTCTGCCCTTGAACCTTTCATCCTTCCTGCCTCATCCTCCTGAGTAGCTAGGATTATAGACATGTGACACCTTGCTCAGCCAGACTGTAATTTTCTGAATGGTAGATCAGATGACTAGGATACTGGCACTAATAGTAATATAACATGCCCGATTTCTAGGACTGTCATTAATAAGAGTGACAGCTTTTAACTCAGATTAGTGTCTGCCTGGTCTTTATGGCTGTTAGTCTTCCAGCATTGTCACTGATTGTGGATGTCTGCCGCTTGCCTATAGGCACCTGCGTCAGGAGTTCCCAAGACCACCTCCAGGTTTGATGATTCATTAGGGGATACATGGATTCACCATATAGATGTATCCATGTCTGTGGTGTTTTGCTAGGAGGATTTGAGGGACTTGGCATATCATCATGCTCGTGGGTAGGATTTTCCACAGAGAATAAATACAAAGCAAAATCAGCAAAGAAAAAAGGCATATGGGGCAGTCTCAGAAAACCAGTTTCCAGAGTTCTTTCCCAGTAGTCACTCATCATGTGCTTAATTCCCCCAGCAACAAGTTGTGTCAGCATGTGTGAAATGTCACCTACCTGAGAAAGCTCATTAGGGACCTCCTGTGTTAGAGCTGGTCACGTGAGCACTTTGCCTATCTTATACCTAAACATGGAACTCCCAGAAGGAAAGAAGGTTTTCAGCATAAACCATGTTGTTTTCACAAACACTTTAGGCACAGTGAAACATTCTTACCAGTTAGGATTGTGAGAGCCCCCCCACACACCTTAAAAAAAATATATGTTTCCAGATGGCAGCCAGGCACCAGCCTCAGAAGAAGGCTGGCCTGTAATGTTAACTTACTTCTGTGCAATACCTTAGCTTTTATCTTAGCTGAGCTATAGTGGACCAGGCCTGAGTATATAGGAAAACCTCTGAATTGAGGGCCCTGTTGAGCCAGTGGCTTTGTTGTATGCAGCAGAGTGGAGAATATGGTTTTTCCCATTGAAGTAGCTGCCACTCCTTCCTATAAAACCAAGATGACACATTGCCAGCACTGCTTACTACAATCATAGCCCTGATAAATGTCCCTGGTTAAGAACAGTAAAAGCCTTGTATTCTTAGTATACCCAATCAGAACATGCAGGGACTGTTGGGGTCTTGGCAGATTGCCTTTCCCAACAAGGGAGATGCTTTGTTGCTGTGAAGTGGGCTCTTCTTACCCTGAAGTCACGGATGCTCCTCTCACACAAGGAGAGTGAGAGCATGGGGCCCAGAAGGAATAGTGCTGGGGTGAGTTTAATATAGTGTCATCATAATGTGCTCTTGGACAAAACTATAGCAGCAACATACATTCCTTACTTCTTGTTAGCTGAGGACAGTCTGGAGATTTTACCCACTTGTTTCCCCCCAACTTATTTTACTGTGCTGGAGATCAAAGCCATGGCTTTGTGTTTGATAGGCAAGTGCTCAACCTCTGAGCTGTACACCCCAGCCTACCCACTTCTTTTTTTTTTAGTAGTATTGGGAATTTGAACTCAGGGCCTCACACTTACTAAGCAGGCACTCTATTGCTTGAACAACTCCGCCAGCCAACCCACCCACTTTTTGATGTCCAGCATGGACCTGGTCCACCTACAGCAGCCTCAGGTTTGCTCAGCTTCCCTCATACATGCCCTTTGTACTGCAAAGTGATCTCAGAGTCTTCTCCTACATCTCATGCATCCATCACTAGCTCTAACTTGTATTAAGCTGTGGCTGACTCACAGTCCAGAAGGCTTCCTGTCCCTGCTCTTCAGATTCTCCCATTAAGCTGGGGAAGGCAGCAAAGAAACACAGTCCCCATGTAGTATGATCCCTGTACCAGTGGGGAAGGGAAGCATAATAAGCTGTGGGGCTCCTGTGGGGCAGCCTGACCTAGCCTCAGCAGAGAGGTGGAGGAAGCTAGGGAATCGGTAAGAGTCATGAGTGGAATAGCGGAGGAAGGGCCTTCCAGGTAGAGCTTGTACAAAGGCTCAGACACAGCACATTCATTCATACAGCATTCAGTGAGCATCTGTTGAATCCCAGCTGCCACTGTGGAGGCCGGCTAGCCTCTTGGAATGGCATTCTAGTTGGGGGAGCCAGTGGTCAATTAAAAATTTGTGATATGGTAAGAGGTGACAAGGGCTATGGAGAAAAAAAAAAGCAAGGGAATATGGTTAAGGAATGCCCAGGGTACCGTTGGTATTTTATGTGGTGTGAACACAGTCTTACTGAAAAGATCTGAAGGAACCAGCCTTGCATCTAGGGATAAAACATTCAAGGCTGAAGGAGCAAAGTGCAAAGGCTCTGAGTAGAGAACATATTTGGAGGAATGGGGAGACAGTGTGAATTGATGAGAGGTCAGTGTTGTAGGCCAGTTCTGAGTCTCTTCTCTAGGACTTTGGATTTGCTCTAAGAAACATGGAGAGCAAGTTAATGGCCTCTGATTTGCCACTTTAAAAGGATCAACCTGCCTGCCATGCTGGGGGCCAGGTAGAAACAGGGACATGGGTAAGGAGGCTGCTGTGCTTGTACATTTGGGAGTTGAGATGGTATGAACCAAGGTAGTGACAGTGGAGCTGGTAAGAAATGCCAGGCTCTGGTTCTCATTTGGCAGTAGAACCAATAGGATTTGCTGAAGAAGCAGATGAAGAAGAGGAAGAGAGAAAGAAGCAGTGAGGATAATGGAATGACTTTGAGCATCTGGAAGGATGGAGCTACATTTTGTCCAGTAGTTGGAGGGGAATTGAGAATTTGTTTCTGCATCTGGTGAGCATCTTAATGACAATATCAAGGGGACAACTGGATGGATATATAACTAGATTCAGGGAGGAGATGGAAACTGGAACTTCAAATGTGAGAGGCACTGATAGCCATGGGACAGGATGTATTTACCTGGGGGCCAGCTAGATTGAGAAGCAGTCTAAGGACTGAGTCCTGGCACAGAGCTGCTATCATAAGTTGGGGAATGAAGAACTGGCATAGAAACCCCAGAAGGAGCAGTCAGCATGAAGAATGGTGTCTTAGGGGCCACTACCCACTAGGGAATTACTAGCATTACAAGAATTATTAGGATTACTAGCATTACAGGAAGGAGGGAATGATCAGCATGTCAAACTGTACTGGGAGTTCCAGCAACATAAGGATGGAGAATCAATTGCTGGATTTAGAATCCACTGCTGGAGGCCATTGGTGGTCTTGATTGAAGCCATTTTGGTGGAGCTGGATCTGTGAGGAAAAGATTGTTTCCAAACAGTGAGAACAGTGTAAATGGATGTGGCAAGTATAGACATCTCTTTTTATTTTTTTGGCGGTACTGGGGTTTGAACTCAGGGCCTCTCACTTGCTAGGCAGGTGCTCTACAACTTGAGCCACCCGGCCAGCCCTGTTTTGTTTTGGGTATTTTTGAAATACCCAAAAAAACTATTTGCTTGGGCTAGCTTTGAACTGTGATCCTCCTAATTTTGCCTCTTTAGTAGTTAGGATTATAGGTGTGAACCACCAGTGCCTGGCTTTTAAGACAGCTCTTTTGAAGAGTTCTGCTTTTAAGGAGATCAGACCAATGACAGAATAAGGTAGGTGGGGGTAGGGGTTCAAATTTTAGTCAGAGGGGAGTGAGGACAGCATATTTGTATGTTGATGGGACTGTTCCACAAGGGAAGAAAATATTGGGGATGTGGGGAGGGGAGCTGAGTTGTTGGACCCCACTGGAGGAGGAATAAGAGCTGGTGTCAAAGGGGTGGCCAGATGTCTCCTGGAGGAGACATCTAAACTGGACTTGAGAGATAAGTAGTGATTGCCCACTAAGTAGGGGACGAAGTAGGGAAAGGGATGGTCATGTTTCTCTTATGATTGAGCTAGGTTTGGGCTGAGCCACTTAGAGTTGGTCAGACTGAGATCTCTTGAGCTGCCCTTCCTCAGCCAGAGTCAGAGAGTTTGGGGTCCTCTGTGGTCTGAGGGTTCTCCCAGCTCTTCACCTTAAGCAAATCAGGATTCATTCATGGGGTAGGAGCAGAGTGTAGTGGCAGAATGGAAGGTGGGTCAGAGACCTGGTGGATTAGTCTTAGTTGGGCCTTCCACTCATGTGACTTGAGTACCCTTTTGTGATTTCTCCCATTTTCTAAAGGTGACTACCTACCTGAGAAGTAGATTACTCCACAAGGTGGAGCTCTTAGTTTGTTTTAATGTCTACCTTGATCACATATTTGTTAAATTTGTCCTGAGAACATAAAGAAGAGGAACATTTCACAACCCAAGTTTTGGATGATACTATTGTATTTTTTTTGAGACAGGGTTTCACTGTATAGTCCAGGCTGGCTTTGAACTCACACTCCTCCTGCCTCAGTCTCTGGAGTACTCGGATAATAGTTGTGCACCACTATACTCGGCTTTTATTTTGTATTGGAATGGGCTCATTCATTTAAAAAACAAGAAGCCAGCAGACTTGTACTAGGGGCTAGTGCCATAGTGGTGAGCAGTCTGGTGAGGTGACAAACATGAAGTGGGTGATGACAAGATAGAAACCTTAAGAAGGAATCAGAACAAAGTCAAAGAGAGAGCGCCACTAAGGAGGCAGCCCCAGACGATGCAACCCTGGAGGAGGTGCCAAGGGCAATGACAGCAGAGCTGCAACTAATGTGGCAAAGTAGGCAGGGGCTGGAAAGGGAATTCTGGGTCTGATCCACAGCATGTGCAAAGGCCTGGAAGTAGGTAGGAACAGGGAATCTGAGAACTGAAAGAGGAGGAGGCTTTGGGGAGGTGAAGGATTGCCAAATTTGGGAGTGTATGAGACATTGTAGTGGAGGTATCAGACAGGCATTTGGACACAGAGATATGGGTTTAAGGGGTAGTTTGCTATAGAAGCCAGCAGAAGCTGTGAGTTAATTGAGCCTTGTGGAGAATTCAGAGGGAGAAGAGCCAAGGGCTGGGCAGTTGAAGATGACCTAGACATGCTGGATGCCAGTTGTTCACTTCTATAATCCTAGCTACTCAGGAGGCAGAGATCAGGAGGATTGCGGTTTAAAGCCAGACTCCGGGCAAATAGTTCTCAAGACCCTATCTCAGAAAAAAAAAAAAAATCACAAAAGAAGTGCCGGAGGAGTGGGTCAAGCAGTAAGAGCGACTACCTAGCAAGCTTGAGGCCCTGAGTTCAAACCCCAATGCCACCAAAAAAAAAAAAAAAAAAAAAAAGATGCTTGCCCATCCATCCTTGCCTGCCCTTTGTTCCCATTTCTTCCTCCTACCTCTTGCTCAAGATCTACCAGTTCACCTCTGCTTCTGTGTGTTCTGGGGTCATTCTGCCCCCTCTCCTTAGAGGAAAATGATGCTGGCATCTGTCCTTCTGCCTGGAATGCCACTGTCTTCCCTGTTTGCTTGGCAAACTTCCTGCTTATCTTTCAAAACCCATTCACCAGCTTTCCTGAGTCCATTTAACTCCTTGTCTAGAGCCCCCTGAAAGTAGGGCTGTGTCCAGGCAACCTTCCTATCCCCATACCCCATGACCTAGCTCAGAGGAAACTCTTTGCTGCCTGCCAACTAAATCAAACCACTCTGGTCTTCTCCTCAGCTCACTTCTAGTACTGACCCTTTCCAGAAGGCCCTGAGGGAAGAAGAGAAACGCCGGAAGAAAGAGGAGAAGCGGAAAGAAATCAGAAAAGGCCCAAGAATCTCAAGATCCCGGTCTGAATTATAGCCCTGGAGCAGCTCAGGGCTTGAGGATAGGAGGCCAGTCAGGAGGAAGAGGAAGCAGCCATGTGGCTGTGGTGTAGCCACATCAGCCATGGGGGTGAGCATTGGCCACTTCCAGATGGAGACCCCCACGTTTGCTGGGTCCTCAGGAGCAAAGTCTGAGTCCTGACCAAAGGGACTAAGACTCGGTGTTGCATTTCCTCCCAAGGCCTCCTTGGAGGGGCACCAAGGACACTGTGCTATAGTCAGGATCTGTGGGGAGTTGTGGGGAAGGCATCAGGGGTTCCTGACCTGGGCCCTCCTGGTTGGTGAGGGCTGATGGCTGACTGGCTGCTGCCCTTTATGGGAAGCAGTGGAACCAGGCTCTAAGTCACAGGTGAAGGTGCCATGCTTGTAGCTGGTCCCACTGTGTCACTAACCTGCCCATTACAAGTCCTGGGCCCTCCACAGAGACAAAATAAAAGCCAGCAAACTCATTGGCCTATCCAAGGTGAGAAGGCTGTTAGGGGACCAGGAGTCCTCAGGGAAGTTGAGCCCAGCTTAGAGGATGTTCCTGCTTCATCAGGAGGACCCCCAGGTCTTGGCAGGGCAGAGAAGTAAGACCTTGGCTTAGGCCTCCTGTTTCCTCAGCACTGCTCCAGAGGAGGGATCAGTGTTAAGAAGGGATCCAGAAGTGTCTTAAGAGGGTGTTCATTTCAAGACAACCTTGAAACAACGTGATCCCTGTCCTTAGAAATCCAGGGACAGTCATTGAGCAGGTATAAGGAACAAATCAATTTGTCCTCTCTGCTGGAAGACTCTCAACCTTAGGTGGGAGCTGAAGGGGGATCATACTACAGGAGGCTGTGCTTTGTAATGGTAGAGCTGTCCTGAGTGGGCTGGTCAGACAGTGAGCTCACCATCTCAGGAGGTATGTAAGCAGCCCTATGGCCACTGGATAGTAAAGCTACAGAGGGAGTTAGGCCCTGAGTGGGCAGCCTGTTTTCTGTGGACCCCAAACAGGTATGACTGTCCTTCAGTCCTGAAGTCCCTCCCAAGCAGAAGAGCGAGGGGCTTTATTGGAATTCTAACTCTGCCTCTTTGACCTTACCAAGCCAAGGAGCAGAAATATATACCACCCCCAGACTTCCAACCCCCTGCCTTTCTCATTGACAGTTCCTAAACGAGACTTGAGTCTTAGCACATCAGCCTTGCTAACTGACCCTGGCCTACTCTTTTCCTTCCCTGGGCCTTGGCTTCATTGACAAAATGAATTTGATGATGTCTGAATCCTTTGTCCAGCACTAATCTGCTTCCTTGAGGCTGGCCTCCCTCCTGGGCAAGACAGCAAAAGAAAGCCAGGTCTTAGGCCTCCTAGAAGGGCCCAGAAGATCCTGTATCCCATTGGTTACTCAGGAGAAGTAAGGGGACTAAAGCATCTGTGATGAGGACTGGAGATGTTTTCCCATCTGAACTGCCCACCAGCTACTGGTCTCCCTCCCTGGGCAGGGAGGCCAGACTGGCTGACTTAAGATACCTGGGTTCTTTTCCCACCTCCTGGGTTGTGTGACTGAAGCCAATTCCCATGAGAATTATATGAGATGACACTAAAGTTTGTAAACTAAAGCTTACAAACTATGGAAAGGGTGAGAGCCACTGATCCGCTGTTTAACCTGTCCTGGTAGTACCTACAGGTGGGGCTGGGGGTCAGGGCCAGCCCTCAGGTTCTTCCCTATTCCCTTCATGCTGGAGAGTGGTTGTGAGTGCTGACTTTGTTGGGAAGGTACTTCCTCCCTTAACTGATAAAACTTTTGAAGAACTAGGCCTGCTTGGCTGGGGGCCTAGCTTTCTTAGGTTAAAGGATGCCTCAGGACAGTGCAGAGGTGGTTTCAGCTTTGGCTGGGGTCCTGCTTAGTGACTTTGGGGGGTCTATCATCAGCAGGATGTTTATAGTTTGAGGCAGAGCCAGGGAACTGAGTGATGAGAGAGGCAGTCCAGTGTGGTGGGAAGACTCCAGCAACTTGGGAGTAGCCTAGGTTCTTTCCCCTACTAGCTGCTATCTCAGAACCAAGCCCTATCACTCAGATCCTTGGTTCCCCCATCTCAGAGTGCTCACATGTTTGGCAGGTAAATGCCTGTGGAAAAGGCCTTATAGGTAAGTCCCTGGAATTTAAGTGACTTCTGTGACAGGTATCCTCTAATGATTCTTTGTTCATCCTATAGATTTGTTCAGTGACCGCTGTATTCAGGACCTAAGAATAAGGGCCCAGTCTTACCCTAGCTTTACATCTGCCCCATCTGGCACTTCCTTCCCCCTGGGATCTTCCCTCTATACCCTCAGCCTCTCAACATCTTGGTGGATCCCATCCTCTTCAAAGTGGCCTAAGGTTTCTCTTCTTCCATCTTCAAAGAAACAAAGTCATTCTGTTTGCCCTTTTCTCCTTACTGTTGCTGCTAGCGTTGATTGTTGTGGTCACTTGCTCTGGGAATTCCGCCTTACGAGGCTTATGCTGGGGGATAACACTCCCGGGGTGGGCGGATTCTTGTTCGTCCAGCCTTCCCCTGCATCTGGGATTCAATTATGTGACTGTAGGTCCACTAATTGGATATGTCAGCCTGTTTGGGAGTTGTGCTGGTGGTGGCAGTGGCTGAAAGTACCAGAGTTCGCAGCGAATGGTGGTTCCAGTGACCAGTCCAAAGACCATCCAGGGTGCCTACGGTGGCAACAGTACTATTATCACTGTGGTCTTGGACATTTTCCAGTTTGCTGAGTTTCTGGGCTCAGTCTGCGCTATTCACAGAGAATCTGAGAGCCCCTAATATCATTTAAGGTGGGGTTTCTCAGCAGTGGTACTGTTGACATTGTGGGCCAAATTACCTTTTGTTGTGTGTCTCAGGAGGGCTGTCCTGAGTGATACAGGATATTTAGCAGTATCCCTGGCCTCTGCCTCCTAAGTGCCAGTAGCAGTTTCCCAGTTATGACAACTAAAAATATCTCTAGATGTTGCTAGATTGTCTCTCCCTGGTCTTTAGTCCCTTCTCCCTCCCTCTCCCAGAATCACATGTTCCTCTGCTCTCAGTCATTGCTGGCAGAGAGATGCTGTTGTGGGCTTCTCTGGGTGATTCTTGTGGGCTTTTTGTTCTGGTGCTCTGATTTTGGCCTGAGGATGGTATTTCTCTTCCTGTCTCCTCCTTCCTTGCCTGCTTCTTTAAATGAAGAGGTTTGTTGGCTTACCCCTTCCTCTCTGCTGTTTTCTTGGGTACCCATATACTCTAAGACCTCAAAGTTGATGGCACCTGCCCTGTCACCATCTGACAACTCTCTCATTGCTTATGTTTCAGTTCATCCTAAACCAAACTTGTTCTTTCCCATTCTCCAACTCTACCTCTTGTCAGATTCTTTGTTAATCCAGCCAGAAGGTTTCCTGGAAGAAGTGGTATCTGAAATAAATCATGAAAGGTTGGGGGAGGAAGGGGACAAGCACTGGGAGGGAGCAAAAGCCTGAAAGGAGAAGTGTCAGAGGAAGTAAGTGAAAAACATGCGTGATTCTCCCTGTGATGTGCAGTGGCTGCCCATTCCATAGTAGATACTTTTACATAATAGTCACCTATTCCAATTCCTCTGATTTCTGATCAGCCATGCAGGTCCTGAGGAGCGACTTGTCAAAGGCTGCTCTACCCTGCAGTGCCAGCCTCTGTCCTCCTCCTACCAGGGCAATGTGCCAACCACAAGAGACAAGAGACATTTAGTTAGGTGGGACTCATGGCCAGAGGGAGTGTGTCAGTGTTTTGCTGAGGTTTAGGTCCAGTGCAGCCACCATCCTTCTACCATGTCTATTGAGCCTTCATTTGTGCTCCTTCAGGTCAGTTGGTCAGGCACCAAGGCCTCTGGTAGTCCTGCTGAGAGCCATGAAGATGGCATGAGACTGAGATGGGTTTGGAGAATCAAGCCTAGCTTGGGGTACATAGACCCTGTCTCCAAAAAAAAAAAAAAAAAAAAAGTAGGGGGAAGCTGGTGGAATGGCTCAAGTGGTAGAATGCATGTCTAGCAAGAGGCAGGCTCTGAGTTCAAATCCCAGTACCACCATTAAAAAAAAAAATCAGATGTTTTCTTTTTTTGTTCATGTAAATAGCAAAGAGCATTCTTGATTTTTCTCCCAAGTAAGACATTTTATATATATTTCTCATTAGCTATATATTTTTGTAATAAAAAATAATTTAGATAGTACTAAAATACCAGGAAGAAAGTAAAATTTGCCCCGAATTCCATAACCAACATTTAGCTTTTGGGAGTTCTTTATTTTTTCAATTATAATAGCTCCCTTCTATGGGAACTTACTATATGCCAGGGCTTAATGCCAGGTGCTGGCTGACTACAGCTCTTTCTATCGCAAAGCCTTTGTCCATGTCATCTGTTCCCCTGGCTATACCAGAGGCAGTTCTCATACTTTTAGATTTTATCTTAAGTGACCCTTAAGAACACCTACAATGCCAGGGCTAGAACCCAGGGCCTTGGGTATATTTGGCAAGTGCTCTACCACTGAGCTACATCCCCAGCCCTCAGAGTCTTCTTGATATCACAAATTAGGTCCTTTTTCGGTCTCATCACACCCATTACTTTTCCTTGGTCACTTGTACCATCTGTTATAGTCATATTTGTTCACTGTCCTTTTCCACTACACTGGAAGCTCTTAAACTGCCTGCTACAGAGATGTTCAATAAACCTTGTCAAATGAATGTGAAAATTACCTCATTTAATCTTCATCATTGAGGAGAGCTATTTTATCCCCATTTTACAGATGGCAAAACTGAGGTGTACAAGTTACTTAACCAGCCCAGGGTCACACGGTGAATTTCTCAATACATTATGAAAGCTTTCTGCTGTCGATCAATATATTTAGGCGCATAACTTTTTAATGGTGTCACAGTATCCCGTGGTGTGGCCATAGTTTATCCAGTGCCTTACTGGGCTTTTTGTGATGATTGTCTCCCAGCATGCATATTTCTTTCAGCGTTTCTTTGAGTATTCATCCTTTTATTACTCGGGATGCTTTCTTGGAAGTTTGCACCCTGTGTACAACGTGACTAGCTGCGAGAAGTGGCAGTGAAGTGCTTCCAAAAGTGAAGAAGGCGTGGGTAGGATGCACATCACAGCCCCCGCATCCTTTCCAAAATACTCCTGCTTCGGCCCCACCTCGGGAGGGCTGACGGTGGCCCTGGGCAGCCGTCTTGTTTAAAGGCTTGGGTGGTTCTGAGGTGCCCAAGATTGACAGCCAATGGCCTAAGCGTGTGGTCGCGGCAGGTGCAAAGAACGGCGCACAAGTTGTGGAATGTTGACAGCGCTTGGATCAATCTCGGCCCCGTCAAGCCTCCGTGTCTGTGTTTTTAAGAGGGTTGGGAGGAGCGTGACTCGAATGATGTCGATTTTCTGTCCCCGAGTGTTGGAAAGCTTAACTTTGGTTCTACCCGGCTTTCCCAGGCGGGCAAGGTGGAGGCAGGGGAGAAGCGGCTGCGAAGATGACGTAATGTGCTCTCAGCCGGCACCGCGTAAGTTCCGAGGTCGCGGCTGGACTCAGGCGCCGTTAACCCTTCAGTCCCAGACCTGTGGACGGAGTAGTTCTTAGAGCGGATCCAACGGAAAAGGGAGAGGCTCCTTTAAGAAAAAGCAGAAGGAGGTTGGGCTGAGAACCCCGCGGCTACTTTCCACCCAGGCTCCGAGGCAGTGAGGGGCGGGACCTCGGTATGCAAATCTGAGCTGCTGATCGATGACGCGCCATCACCCCACGCGCCGCTTCGCGCGCCAATTGGCTAAGATGTGCCTGGTCCCATTGACAACAAACAAGGGGGAGCTGGGGGCGGGGCCGCAGGGGGCGCGGGTTGGGGCGGGGGAATCCCGCGCCGCCCCGCCCCTTCCGCGCGGCACCCCGGCGCGGCGCAAACATGGCGGTGACTGGCACGGGCCGGTGAGGCGGTACCGGGCGGGGGCTGTAGGGTGTCATGGGCAGTGGCGGCGGCACCGCCCCCGCGTCTCCCTGAGTGGGACCACACTGGGGCCTCTGTGCCGAACCGGGCGATGGACGAGAGCGGCGAGCTGGGCGGTCTGGAGACCATGGAGACGCTCACGGAGCTGGGCGACGAGCTGACCCTGGGGGACATCGATGGTGAGTAGTGGGTAGGTGGGAGTGCGGGGTGCCGGCGGGGAGGAAGGGGTTACGGCGGCGCGCGCGGGTGCGCGTGCGCCCACCCCGCAACAGCCCGGGCTCTGGCGGGAAGAACCCCGCGCGCCGGGTCGCTCCGGCGGTCCCCAAGCCTTCCGGCTTTACGAGTGTGAGCTCCGGGCCCAGGCGCTCCGCTCCCGGAGGCTGTGGAATCCTGGGCCCCACTGGGCCCGGGACGGAGAGGGAAGGCCGGGCCGGGGGCGTCGAGGGAGCCACTAGAGGAGACAGCACCGCCAGCGCCTGCCTCGCGCGCCCACACGCGCCGTCTGCGGTCCCGCTGTCCCGCCGCTCGCGTCGCACCTGTCACTCCCCGCCTGGCCACAGGAGTGGCTTTGCGATTTCCCGGACTGGGCCCCTGGGCTCGGCGTCCCCTACCCCGGGTCTTCCCGGGATGGGTTGACAGCAGGCTGGCCAGGCACCTGGGAAAACTTTGCGCAGCAGCCACAGAAGCGAGTCGCTGATGAAGTGGGCAGTGGGCAGTGGATGCCGAGTTGAGCAGCAGGAATTTTGAGTTGTGGCTTCTCGGGTACAGGCTGGGGAGCGGGTGGCCTTTGTTCCGGCGGCCGTAACGGCGGAGTGGAACAGCTGGTAGGAGCCCAGGGCTCCTCTCTTGCAATTTTCTCATTTTCAACCTCAGGAACCAAGGTTTCAGGGTCCCAGACTTGCCCAAGGTCACCATGCTGGTTTAGAGCCTGGTTTTCCCAGTTCCTTTATTGGAAAGAAATACTGGTTTCTTTTCACTCCACCTTTGGGAATTCAGAGCCCAACGAACAAGCTAGTAATCTTTTTTTTTTTTGTGGTACTGGAGTTTGAACTTGCTAGGCAGGGACTCTACCACTTGAGCCACTTCGCCAGCCTGAAGGCTAGAAGTCTTAATAAAAATTCTCAGTAGTTGAGCTCTTCTCATGTTCTAGGCCCCAGACATTTCACTTACTCCTCACAGCAGTCCTGTGAGACAGATGTTCTTACTGCTCCTCTTTTACAGGAGTGAGGTTAGCCAGGGTCACTCACCTTAAGAGCCCAGAGCCCTTGCTTTTAAGCGGTAAGTCAGGAGTATCGTGCTTTGCAGTTTACAAAGTGCTTTTACATCTAGGATCTCACTACAGCCTTGCAGGTAGGTATGATGGCTACATACCTTTTACAGATAAAGAAACAGGTAACAGAAGACTCTTCTAAGGGAAGAGATACATGGTGGCAGTAGCTATTTGAAAAGGATCTGCTTGTCGTTGGCTTTTTTTTTTTTTTTTTGCTGGTACTGGAGATTGAACGCAGGACTTTCATTTTGCTTTTGTAGCATTTTCCCCTTGGTTTGTCCTTTTCATTTTTTGGTCATCCCATTAGTGTAGCAAGACCCTTAATTGAAGCCCCGCTTCTAACTATAGACTTTTTTATTTTTTTGCGATACTGGAGTTTGAACTCAGGGCCTACACCTTGAGCCACTCCACCAGCCGTTTTTCTGAAAGTTTTTTTTTTTTTTTGAGATGGGGACTCTTGAACTATTTGCCCAGGCTGGCTTTGAACCTGGATCCTCCTGATCTCTGCCTCCTGAGTAGCTAGGATTACAGGCATGTGCCCCTGGTGCCCAGCTCTAACCATAGACTTACATTAACTGTTCCTAAATACAGAGATGGGTTAACAAATGGAGAGGGGATGTTCTTGGAATGTAAGAAGGGTAACTAACATGTTTTGACCACTCATGTGCTAGGGATTGTGTTAAGCACATAATACACATAATATTCTCAATTCTCATAACAACCCTATCAGGTAGAGTGACCATTATATTAGTCATCTTCCTCTCACAGATCCTGAAACTGAGGCCTGGGGCTGTTCATTAACTTACCCAAGGTTACACAGGCAGTAGGAAATATGTCCAGAGCTGCCTACTAGCAAGAGCACAGAAAGAAATTCATGTGCATTTTGTACTTCTGTTCCATAATTGATCCTTATTTGTTTTAACTTGTAATGTATTAAAATATCTAGTGCTTAATACTAACTTTATCCCCATGAAATGCTGAATAAAATGTATACTCTGTAACTATGGCAGTGGTTCAGTGACTTTACAGTTCCCCCATACCAGGTTCAGGAAATGTATGTAGTTCCCTGTTGTCAATTGGTTAGCTGTGGTGTCTTGAGTTGTAGTCAACCATGAAAGATAAGGAAAGGTATGATTTTATGGCCACTTGGAGCTTGACATGAGTAACAAACCATAGTGCTGAGTGTTAGAATAGCTTACAGTTGCTCAGGGCTAAGTGAAGGTCAATGGTGAGGGAGCTTGGTAAAGGCTGGTTTACCAAGAAGACCACACCAAAGAGGTAGCCCTTGAACTGGGCCTTCGAGGACAAGAAAAATTGGGCAAGCTGAAGTCCAGTGGTCTGCAGATACAAGTATCCCTTGATAACCATCTCTTCCCCCTCCAGAATGTTACTGCAGTGAGGGCAGGGACCTTTTGTTCACACTGAAATAGATGTACCTAGAACAGTACCTGTCACAGTGAGAGTGCCCACTAAATATCTGTGGAATGCCTGAATGAACACAATGACCTTGGGTTGGGCAGGATACTAAATTGTGTTTATATAGTCTTCAGAGTTGGATCAGATCTGGGTGGCTAGCCCAGATGCTTCTAGGAGCCAGGTGAGGAAGGATATTATGAGAGCACATTTACTTCCTTTGTATGTGAATGGTAGGAATAAGGGGTACTTGCAACTTAGAGATCTCATGCTGATGTCCAGGAGGTGCAGGCAGGCAGGCAGAAATCCTTAGTTGCGCTTGCTCCAATCCATTGGTACCCTTTGGGGCTATGGGCCCAAGGTGGCCACATCCATTCACTTATTCAGCACATCTCTTGAGTGATTTCAAAGTACCCCGATGGTGGGCACAATGCTGAGGTTACCAATTGGACAATACAAAGTCTCTTCTCTGAATTATTAATAGGGGGAAAAAACTCAAGGTAAATAACATAATTTTAGCAGGCCACTATGAAAATAAAATGGGTCCATATTACAAAGGGTGACTGGGATAATCTAATTCAAACTGTGTATTCTAGGCAGACTTTGGAAGAAGAATAAATGTCTCTTTTTCAGGAAATACCTAAGTATTTTTATGTGAAATTTCCAGGTTTCTAAATGTTGGTTCAGTTTTGGTTTTTTTTTTTTTTTTTTTTTTTTTAAGAAATGTACTTAGGTCATCCAGCAAAACATGTGTACTAGTTTATCTCTGGGCCTTGTTCTGCTGCAGTATTCTATGTTTTAGGGCCCCAGATCTTATGATGGAATTGCTACACTGCTTCCTGTTGAGATACATTTCTACATTTTGAGGAAAGACCTTATGCACTGTTATAAGCTTCTGGGAGAGCAGAGAGGTGTGTTCCTCTTCCACTGGGATCAGGAAAGGCACAAAGAAGTGATCTTTTTACTGGACCCAAAAAGATGGGTGGCAGGAGCAGCATGACAAGCATATGTAGAATGAGAGGAACAAGCTGCCTTAGAAATAAGAGACTGCCAGACATTCTTAGAATGTAGAGTATGTGTAAGGAGATAGTAGAAGATGGGGTCTGAGAGGTAAGTTGGAGCCAAATTGTGCCCCAGATAAAGATATTTTTTGGAATGTAGGAAGGGAATTGTTGGACATTTTCAAGTGGAGGGATTACCCATTAATCATGGATTTTAAGAAAATTTAACTTTGCTGATTCCATTTCAGGAAACTTGCAGGCATGAGGTGATGACAGCGGTGAAGAGTTGCCTCTGAAGATAGAGCATAGGTGGAATTCTAGGATCCTGTTAAGGCTTTGAGTGAGTTTAGAAGGTAGCCCGAAGACCTGGTTTGACACCTGATGAAATTTTGTCTTAAACAGGCTGAAATTGGTGTCATCTGGTAGGAAAAGGGAGTCAGATAATAGAGATTGAGTTGTAATCATTTTTGATGACTAGAAGGTAGAGATGAGAGAAGAGCTGGAGGTTTGAAGTGAGGGAAGTGTAATTAAGAGGAGGTGAACTTTTTAAAAAGCACTCAGTGGGTGATGGAGACAATGCTACAGAGGGCAGCAAGAATGACAAGACCATAAATAGAGTCAAGGATTTGGCAGTTAGGAAGTCGACCTTTGATAAAGCTGTCAAATGAAGGGGAAGGGGTCCAAGGCTAAATAAACCAAGCAGGAATCACAAATGAATAGGTGAAGGCAAAGAGAAGCAACCTTCTCTTTGGGGGAGGCTTGAAGAATTTTTTCAGGGGTCGGGTGTAGTAGTGTACTCTTTAATCCTAGCTGCTAGGGAGGCATGTTTTGAGGTCAGCCCAGGCCAAAAAGATGCAAGACCCCATCTCAACCAACAAGCTGAGCATAGTGGTGCACATCTGTGGTTCCAGCTAGACAGGAGACAAAGGTAGGAGGATCACAGTCTGAAATGCACAACCCTATCTGAAAAATAACTAAAGCAGCCAAAAAGGGTGTGGAACACCTACCTAGCAAGTATGAGGCCTTGTTCAACCACCAGTACCGTAAAAAAATAAATAAATAGCAACTTTTCAGTGATCCTCCTGATCTCAGCTTCCAAGGTGAGCCACCCACACTCAGTTTACAGTGAACATTGGTGTATAAGTTTTTCTGTGGACATATCCATTCATTTTTCTTGGGTAGATTATCTACATTTTTTTGTTGTTTGTATTTCCCGAGGGCTTACAATAGTTCCATTTATTCATTTGCTTAGTTTCCTTAGTTTCCTTGGTACTTCCTTTCTTTTCTGGAGGCCTCCATCTTTTTTGTCTCATCTGATAGTTAAGTATGTTCTGAACTTACCTTGGGCTACTCTTTTTTTTCAGCAGCACTGGCATTTGAACTCAGGGCCTATACCTTTAGCCACTCCACGAGCCCTTTTTCTGTGTATATGTGTTAGGTATTTTCAAGATAGGATCTTGCAAACTATTCCAGGCTGGCTTCGAACTACGATCCG